TACTGCGCTATTCCAATTGATTCTACACATCCTCTCATTCACTGTAGTCCGGCTTTGAAACTCTAGTGGTTTCCAAAGACTTTGTCATTTGTGTGGTGCAGACTATAGCTAGATTCTACAATCATTGAACCACTCCGAGGCGAAAATTTGTAGTTCTCTTTTCGTTCTTTTCTAAATACATCTCACGCCTTTTTCTTTAAACTTGACACATGACTTTTTATGGATGTTGAAATTTGTTCGATCAACCTCAATCTAACAATACTCCAGGTACTCTTCTCGCAAAGAGCTCCTCAACTTTTGGAAACCCAACTCCTTCATAAAAATGCCAAGTCAAACGAAGAAAACTTATTTCCGTACGGTGCAGAATTTCAAAACTGATTACGCCCCTACGAACATTACCCAATATGTCTCGGAACGTACTGGCATGAATGTTGTTGTGGTTGACCAGAAGGGACCTCAAGTTAATGGATATTTTGCATTGGCTACTGAAATTTTCGATGATTCTGGATCACCACATACCTTGGAGCATCTTTGCTTTATGGGATCAAAAAGCTACCGGTATAAAGGCTTACTCGATAAACTTGCCACTAGAGCTTACTCTAATACTAACGCATGGACTGCTACGGATCATACTGCCTATACATTAGAGACAGCAGGATGGGAAGGGTTTTCTCAAATCCTTCCTGTTTATCTTGAGCACTTGATCTTACCAACACTTACCGAAGAAGGCTGTTACACTGAAGTCCATCATGTTGATGGTGAAGGTAACGATGCAGGTGTTGTATATTCAGAAATGCAAGGAGTTCAAAACACTGGTTCCGATATCATGGACCTCCGTGCTAGGCAACTTCTTTATCCAGAAAACATCGGATTTCGTTATGAGACCGGTGGTTTGATGGAAAACTTGCGCATCTTAACCCCAGAGAGAATTCGTGCATTCCACAAGGAGATGTACCAACCTAAAAACCTTTGTCTCGTTTTGATTGGTGAAATCGACCAGAAGGAATTGCTTGAAATATTAGACACTTTTGAGGAAGGTATCTTGGATGATATTCCATCTCCAACTGCTCCATTCAAGAGGTAAGTGTGTTCAAGTTCGACCATCAGTAAATAACATTCTAATCCCTATAGGCCATGGGTGGATTCTGCTCAACCACCACCGCTTACTAAAACCATAGTAGAGACTGTGTACTTCCCAGAGGAAGATGAGTCAATGGGAGAAATTTGGGTTGGTATGTTTGGCCCTGATTGCAAAGATGCTGTCGAAACAGGTGCTCTTAATGTTATCCTTGCATATCTCGCTGGATCTTCTGTTTCGATTCTTGAAAATATCATGGTTGAGAAAGAAGAGCTTGCGAGTTCAATTTCATATTGGTGGGATGCGAGACCAAATTCGGTGATTTGGTTTCAACCTACTGGAGTAGAAACCGAAAAGCTTGCATTCGTAGAGAAGCGTCTGTTTGAACTTCTTAGAGAGGCCCTAGAGAAACCCCTTGATATGACATACATGAAAAATTGTCTGGAAAGAGAACGCAGACAATGCAACTTCGAAGCCGAAAGCTCTCAGCGTTTCTATGCTGAAGCCATCATCAATGACTTCCTTTTCGGTAACAGAGATGGTTCTACTTTGAAGGATTTGAAATCACACGCAGAATTCGATACACTTGATAAGTGGAGTGAGCAACAATGGAAAGATTTTTTGAAGAAATGGATCGTCGATGCACCTCACGTTTCTTTACTCGGAACTCCTTCTGAAGAGATGTCGAAGAGAATCAAGAAAGAAGAGGAGGCCAGAGTTGCAGAGCGAAAGGAAAAGTTAGGGCCAGAAGGGCTCAAAAAATTGGCCGAAAAGCTCAAGGCAGCAATTGCAAAGAATGATGCCGAAATACCTGCTTCACTTCTACAGAAGTTTTCCGTTCCTGGAACCGATTCAATCCACTTTCACAAATCAACCACCGCTAGATCTGGTTTGGCCAAGAAATTGGGCGCGCCTACCAATGAAATTCAAAAGGTCATTGATTCGCAAGCATCTGAATCTCCACTGTTCTTACAATTTGAGCATGTTCCAACAAACTTCGTTCACTTATCAATGCATTTTGGCACTTCAGAGATCCCTTTGGAGCATAGGCCACTGCTCAGTTTATTCATCGACAATTTCTTCGATACACCTATTCTTCGCGACGGAAAGACAGTAGAATTTGAGCAAGTCGTCACAGAATTAGAGCATGACACTATCAGATACGAAATGAGAGGGGGCTCTAGTCTTGGTGACGCAGAAGGTCTTATGATTCAATTCCGAGTTGAGCGAGAAAAGTACGAAACAGCCATCGAATGGATCCGCACCATGATGTTCGATAGTATTTTTGATGCTACACGTCTCAGCACTGCAGTTACCAAGATCCTCGCCGATATTCCCGACAACAAGCGCGATGGTAATGGTATGCTTTACACTGCTGATGGTATGCTTCACATGTCCAACGAATCGAGCATGAAAGCAAGGACTACTCTTGTCAAGTCAGTATACATGAAGCGTCTCAAGAAGCTTCTCAAAAAAGAACCAGAGACTGTCATCGGCTGGCTCGAATCTCTTCGCAAATCTATTTTCAAATTCAACAACATCCGGGCCCTCGTCGTTGCAGATATTAATAAGCTTCCATCCCCAGTACAAGCTTGGAACCCACTCATTTCTTCCCTCGATAACCCTACCCCCGAAACTGATATCCTTCCTATCCGCAAACAACACACACTTCTTTCCCATGATGGACAAAATCTTGGCCAAGCAGGAGCTATCATCATCCCAATGCCTACCAGCGATTCTTCCTTCCTACTAACAAATTCTCGTGGCCCAAGTTCTTACACTGATCCTCAACTCCCTGCACTCCGCGTCGCTCTATCTTTCCTACGCGCTGTCGAAGGTCCCTTGTGGACAGCTATCCGTGGAACAGGTTTGGGATATGGATCTTCATTTCATAATGATCTTGATACCGGATTTGTTCAATTCAGTGTCTATCGTTCTCCAGATGCCTTCCGCGCTTTTGCCGCTGGTAAGAAAATCCTCGAGGAATATATTTCAGGAGAGAAGAAAATGGAAGATTCAGCATTAGAAGCGGCTGTTAGTGATATAGTCGTTGAAGTTGTCAATACACAAATCACAATGGATCAAGCTGGGCAAGACAAATTTGTCAAAGGAGTTATGAAGGGATTACCTGAGAATCATAACGAGGAATTGTTGAGAAAGGTTAGGGATGTGGGAAGAGAGGAGATTAGAGAAGTTATGAGGGAAGTTTTGTTGAAGGCTTTTGAGCCGGGAATGAGTAATGTTATGGTTACTTGTGCACCGATTATGGAAGAGGTATGTTTTTTCCCTTCTCGCTTCTCGACGTACTCCCATCATTCCACATACCCCCCCCACCCCTACCTTACTCACTTGTTTCTCCTTCAACCAATCCTCAAACCATACACACAAAAATACTAACAAACATCCCCATCAAAAAGGCAATAGTAAAGAACTTCCAATCCCTAAACTTCAAAACACAAGTCCGCACCCTCGCAAGCTTCGAAGATGATTACGGCTTAGCAGCCCCAGAAGATGACGAAGATGGAGATGAAGAAGACGAGGATGAGGATATGGAAGATGAGGAATCTGGCAGTGAAGAGGATGGCGAAGAGGATGAGGAAAGTGATGTGGAGATGAAAAATTAGGGTTCTGCTTGATATGCTTGCCTCGCTTGCCTCGCTTGATTAGACAGGTAGCCGTAGTTGAAGCGTCAAATGATTCAATGGTCAATGTCATGCTTGGGGTGTGGATGGGAAATAGATATCTTAGAAAGTAAAATCGAACAGGCGGCAGGCATTTACTGTCGAGCTTGAGCTTGAGCTTAAGGTCTTTAGATATATATCGAAGAGTCTTGATTTTGCATGAGTATCATTGTTTAATCATGGTGTGTCAGTATTGGTATTATTCGTGATATCTAATGCACTTCGCACGCAACCATCATACAGATGATACTCTGGATTCTGGATTACACTTACTCCCAATCATGTAACAAAGAGTTAAGATCGCGGGACACATAACCTACCTAGGTAGTCACTAAAACCGAACTCTCTTCACTTTCCACAAAGATGGTCGGTCGATAAACCTCGAGTCAAAATAAACATAATGAATCACAATATCAAACAAACATCACATCAAAGATCTGGATTCAAAATTTTGAATTTCAATCTCAATCTCAATCTCAATTTCAATTTCAATTGAAAAAATCTCTCGATATAAAACTCCCATCTATTTTGACACCCCTCCTATCCACTTCGCCCATTTATTTATTCATCACTCATCCATTCACCCGCTCGCTCACTCGCTCACTCGCTCGTAGCCCGCTGACTTAATCACAGGCAATCACCCAAATCGGATGAACCCCCTCTCATTCTTAATTCCACCCCCATTCTCTCTCTCTGTCTCTCTCCCTCAATGACCGATGATTGCGCCTTCGCCCCTTCTAAGTTAAGGGAGCAAAAAATCTAATCTTACAATAAATACAAGAGATACCAGATCCCCATTCTGGCATCTTTCCACTCCGCTTCGCAAGTCTTTTCTCCGACTTCTCATCTCCGACCTCTGACTTATGCCCATCTTCTCATCCTTTCATTGCTATCATATCGTATCAGGTTTCCGCCATCAATTACAAACGAAGAGGAAAATGCCATTCATTATCTTTCTTCATGCGAAAAAACTTTGCGAATCAAAAGAGTCAAAGTTAAGAAAAGAAAAACAGACCAGAATTAACGCCAAACGACTCAATATGTTGAAAAGAGTACATGTTGTTTTTTGATAACCCCCAACCTTTCCCATCCCCATGATTGTATGCCGAAAGCACAGATGAATGACTCCCGTAATGATCAAGTTGAGCCAATTTATTGTATAATCACGAACCCCGGCTCTCAAAAATGCCGAATGTTGAAAAAAGTGTATGATGTTAAGGAATGAAAAGAAAGTAATTGAATTAGTTAAGAAATCCTTTACACGCCGGTGTACCACAGAGACATGGAATACGATCTGTACTACCAATCTCACGCTCGAATTTGTAATCGTAGGTGAGTTCCTCATCTAGAACGGGATGTTAGTAAAATCATTTGAAAATTTTGGGCATAATATAAACTCACTCTGTGCGATATCACGCAGCGCATAAATGACAATTCTCTTACTCTTCTCCACCGTGATGATCTTCGCAGTACAGTTGGGCATACAACTATGATTGATGAATCTTGCGATACCACCTTTCTTTGTTGCATCGATGACCGTGTTTTCATCGATTCTAAACAGATAACTACTTCCAATACCACTCTTGAGATATCTATTTTCTCTAAGATCTGCAACTTGTTGTCGAACCTTCTCACCGACATACTCAATGATCATATCATTCATCGCTATGTTCTCCATGGCATATAGACCCCAATTGTGAATAGCAGAACGAGCGAACTTGACAGGCTTCTTACGTTTCTTGAGTTGATTGAAACGCAAGACATCAGTATCACCACCAAGAGTCTTCTTCTGATCATTGAGATCGGCCACATAACGACGATTGTTGACACGGGTGGCACGACCAGATGTACGGGCAAGTAACTTCTCTGCCGCAATCTTAGCTGCCTCTGCTGCTTCTGCGACAACATCTTTACCGGCTCGTTTCGCTTGTGCTTCACGTTCCTCACGTGCCCTTTGAACTTTGATACGATGAGGAAGATAGAGAGACTTTTCGGAATTCAGGATCTTCTTCGTACCTTCAGTACGAGCACAGCCAGTCGAAGTCTCCACGTAGTATCCAGGTATAGTTGTCTCATCTTTAACAATGCCTTTGTATCCATTACGATTAAGTGACTTGATTTGCCCTTGTCTCCATGCCCAGGTAGCAGGATCGCTAAGTTTGAAATCCGTCTTGAAAATTTTGAGTGCGGGTCCAGCGTCTTCGTCATCCTTGAGGATATTTTGTAGCCCGTCAATATCAAGAATATTATCAAAGTCATCGTCGACAGTGGGATAGGGTGCATCACTAGAGATGCCCCATTTGACAGATGTTACCACGGGAGCTGTATCGACAATGTTTTCCTCGAATTCAGACTCCTCATCAACTTCTTCTGGAATAATCTCATCTTCCGTAGTACCCAGTTGTTGTCTTTTAAGAGCCTCCCTTTCTTCGAAAATCTGTTTCTTGGACTTCTTCCTCTTTGCCGATTTTGCTGCCTTCTTTCTAGCCGCCACAGCAGCCAAAGCAGCTTCTGTCTCGGATTCTGTCTTTTGGAATCCGTCAAGCTCAGAAATACCTGCCTCAGTGGGAGTTTCTGAAAGGGGCTCAATCTTCGCCACAGGCACACCAAAGAGTTCCTCGTCGGTTTTCTTCTGTCGCTTTTTCGCAGCTTCCATATGCAAATCAAGTTTTCTCTTCTTCGTTGATACGGCAGGTTCAGAGAAATTGACTTCACTTGCAGACTCCCCATCTCGAGTGTCCAATGACTGGGACCTCTCCTTCACATTTCGGCTCATGGAATCCGTATCATCATCAGAAGCTTCATCGTCAGTACCCACACGACTTCTCGGGTGTGACTCAACCTCTTCAGTACCTCTTGTCCTGGAACGAGCTTCATTGTCATCATCGGAATCTTCATCCTCCCTACCAATGAGGAAATGCATGGGTCGGACGTAAGCTTTCCGGGTGGGCCTGGCGAAGGGATCAGTAAATCCAACGTTGCGATTCTTTTCCGCCTTCGCCCTTTTTCGAATCCTAGGTAGAGCAGTAACATTAACCTTCCCTGCAGTTAGGGAATTGCGGTCCTCAATCCGTGAGTTGGGTGTAGCAATAGCGTTACTATTATCCTGATCTTCCTCGTCGTCGATGAAGGACGTCTTGGCATTAGGATCATGGATATTCAACTTGCGTCGTTTTGCTACATGATTAGTTGGATCCATAAAATTTCGCAGACAAGGATTTGCTATCCGCTCCTTCACCTTGTCCATTAAATGTGTCATTAACTCTCGTTTGATGACTTCAATAGCTTCGCGTGCAGGATCGAAGTTCTTTGCCCGTTCTCGCTTCTCGTCCTCAAGATCAGCCTCTTCTTCCTTCCTGATCTCCTCAATCTCCTTCCTCCTTTTCTGCTCAGTCAAGCGCGGGTCAGGACTTCGAGTGCGACGGTGATGACCTCTTTCGGATGCGCGATCGCGATGTTCATGTCGTCGACCTCCAGTGCCCCATAAGTATAACTTCATAATCATTTCATATGAGAACAGCGCAGTGCCATTGCAAGAATTGTAACACCTGTCTGCCTCAAATCTCCCCTCGTCACTAAGCGCAAAGACCACATAATAACCTGTTCTATCAACTCTCACGTCCTCCAGGAAATGGTTCTTAAGCCGCTTTTTCAGATGGAGGATTGTCGCTGGAATAACAGGAACATAATCTTTCGAAATAAAAATATAGGGCTCATCCTCGAGTTGTTGCGCAATTGGTTCATCCTCGATCAATGTCTGCTGGCGCGGTTTCGTAGGAATCGCAGCTTGTACTATGCTGCCTGGTCTAAACTGTGGCCTGCCAGAGAGGGCAGCAGGTCCTTTGGGGGCACTTGGCGGGGGTCCTGAGGATTTGACAACTTCAGGCTTAGGGGGAGGTGGTGGCTCCTTGGGCGGTAAAGGTAAAGGTTCGGGTTTCGACTTTTCCAAAGCATTCTCAAGCATGCGAGTACTGCGTTTTCCCTGCGGATCGAATTGAACCTTGATTCTCGGTCCCAGCCCTACCACACTGCTACCTCTCATGACGGCTTTCTTGGCAGCCTCTGCCGCTGTCAAAATTGTACCATCCTTCCTTTTAGTATCTCGATATCGAAATGTGCCAAAGCCCAAACAACTTCCTGTCTCTGGATGTAGTTTATTACTGCTCTCTGCGATTTGTCCATAATGAGTAAAAACATTAGTGACCTTCATAAAATTTATTAATGGATCATATCCAGTAACAACAATTTCCGTTGGTGGGCCAGGTCCATAATGAGTTTTGGGATTATATTTGTACTTTGGCAGCATAAACGGCGAATGGTTGAGTCGCGATAACGCATTATGATAATCGGTATTGATATACGACAATCTGCTTCCTTTCGCTAACCGCGGATCCGCTGGGGGAGCGTCATCTTTCTGAAAAGCTATTAGCCAGACGTTCTCACACGCAAAAGATGACACCCCCCGCAGCAGATTGTATACGTACCAAACCAAACTCCTTATAATGTGGGCGGCGATTATGTTTCTCTTTCGTCGAATGTATATGAGGATCGTGGAAGGGATCATATGTGCATTTTTTCCCCTTTACGCCTCGTGCTGGGTCTCGAGCGAGGACTCGTGGCTCGGTGGAAGTATGCTCTGCCGGGGCAGAATTGGGTATAGCAACGGCATGCCGAGATTTTGTATTATCAAGAGCGGCGCGAGTTGTAGCGGTGACAGGCATATCAGCCTTGGCATTGCCAGGACTTGCAACACCATTGGGTGATGAGTCGGCATTTGTCAATGGTGTTAAATCGTTGATATTTCGAGAGCCAGCAGATGCTTGCATGCTGTTGTAAAGCTGATTGTTGACACTGAAAAGGGATGATCCAGAGCTTGAATGTGAGCTGGCTGAGCCTACACCATTCAAAATATCGCCTTGTACAGATTCGTTATCTTCTGTCGTCAGGGTAGGAGGATCCGCAATTGGAATTGATATATCTTCTGAAAGACGTGTAATAGAAGCATTGTCAGTTAAGGCTTTCGCATTAATTTGGGTATCAGTGACAGAAAGGGTGGTAGGCGAATCTGCCTGCTGTGCCTTTGACTTTTCCCTCTCCTTTGCTTTGTCTTTCGCAGCTCGAGGAGCCGATGGAAAGAATTGTGCGAAACTCGCCCCAGATGCGCGAGACATCGTGTGACTGTATTAATCTACCTCTCCTTCCTTCTGCCAACCACCATCTCTTTGTAAAAGATCAATGTGCGACTGCATGCATTAAAAGGGTTAATGGCAGATGGCCAATACGCGCAAAAAGCGGTTGGTAATGACGCGATTCAATTCCCTCGGAACAGATTTGACCAAGTATTGCCGATACTTATATGATGATAAAAGTATAGAATATCTCGTCGATATCGATGTGCGAATATTGGCAGATCAAAATTAAGTGTTGTGCGACAGATATGAGATCTATCTTTTGACGCTGGGGGTTGGTAATTTCGTGAATATGTATAGTTGAAGTTGATGGAATGGAGGATTTGATGAGTTGAGGTTTCGATACTATCAATTTCTCGCTTTCCCAATAGGTTAGATTCTAGAAAATAGTGGCGCTTGACTCAATTAGGAGATTACATAAGATTTCAAGGAGATGGCAGGTCAACGTGAGGGATAACTTTGATATGATGTGCTAATAAGTAGCCAACAACCTATACAGTCAGACAGATTTATATAAAACTTTGTTAAGTTTTAAATAGCGTTTAATGAATTCCTATTATTCTATTCTATACAGTCCATTACTTGGAATTTTACTATCAATACCTTTATGTTACTATTCACCCTGGCAAATGTGTTGGCGTTGACTGTACGGCTACTCTATTCGCTTGAAAGACACAACAATGAGTCCGTTTTCAGTACAAAAAGTACTACCTAGGTAGGTAAAGAGAGGTATGAAGGCTATGGCTGAAAGGGACATAGCTACTATATTAGTATTCGAGCAACGTACAACTCCGTATACCATGATTAAACAGCTTGTTGAATTCGAAATTCGGTAATGTCTAACGTTATGGAAATATCTCATATAATATATACATACACCTCTCAGATATTCCCAAGGATCCCGTTCTAAATAGTCGGCCTCCATGGCAATGGCCCTCGGAGAGCCAGCGGAGCGTCATTTCTCTACTTAACCATCAATATCACAATTCACCTACTTTGTAATCTTACAATAATCAAAGAGCCAGCGAAGCCTCATCCAATCACTCACTGACAATTCCAACAGCCCCCAAACTCCAGGAAATCCTCATCTCCTTCTGACACGTATCAGATTCGAGAAGATCTATATATCTTGGTGGTGTGGTCTGTTAAATAGATGACACAACACGAACCCCTTATTACTTTTCGTTACATTTCTTTACCCCCTCGTTACACAATTGCACGTGCTTCTTCTCCAGTGGAAGATTGTACCACATTTAGGTAGTATGTATGATGAGGACTGTCAATGTGTGTTACATTTTTATCCTTGATTCAAGCTTCTACCGTTAAAATTGAAAAATGATGTTAAATGAAAGTCATAGCAAACCCAAGTACTCGTAATGCAATGAGTAGTATCATGCAATCTCCAAGCTCACTCGCTCATGCAACATCTTTCATCACATATCATTACACTTCAATACAGAATACGGAATCTGCCCAAGATTTTGATAGGTAGATAGATATATATGCAGTGCCTATTCCACTGTATCATCACGTAGTTGTTGTTCCACGAAATGTTAGCCGACCGATGCTATGTAAGGTTTTTGAGGCGGAGGAAAACAATGAGAAACACATTTCATCATGTCATACTTATCGCCATGTCAAATCGAACCTTATTGTATTCCATAGGTAGAAGTGAGCCATTCACAATCACAATGACATAAAAAGGCACACAGTGATTGAAAAGTCATATACAAGTCCTAATTACTACTCTCTAACTTATAGCTTAAAGAATAACTTCCCCAATGTATCATATCATACAAATATAGTAATCGCACCGCATCGCACCCAATAACATAAGAGAAAAATATTGTATACCATGCAACACCTAGGTAAAGGTATACAAGTTGTGGTATCTTGTCCATCCGTACTCCATTTTCACACCTTTCATAACACCATAGTCATCATAATACAACCAAAACCAAAACCGGTCTTTCCAAAACAAATGAAAATAACCCTATTCCGTACCTCCAATTGTCAAAACGAAATCCTCTTCATCCTCATCGAATTTAATCAAACACTCTGGCAAACCACATTTCAAAGCCGGTTCCAAGTCCTCATCATCAACCTCAAAGGCACTCAAGAAATCCAATTTCTTGTACTCTGGATTCGACACATTTTCTTTCTGGGCAAAACGGGCGGGAGTAATGGTACTATCCGAGCCATGGGAAAGATTGCTAGTCGAGCGAGGTAAAGTATTTGTTCTCTTCAATGTGAGAGGTGGAGCATCCTTCTTTTGAAGAACGTTAGAAGCTGATCTACCTTTGGTATAACCAATGGTACTTCTAGATGTGGCTGTGGCAGCTGTGGCACGCATAGTGTTGTTTGTGACAGGAGCAAACGTTGGTGTCTTTCTACCTCTCAAAAGTGATGAAGTTGGTCTTGGAATAGCTGTTGATGGTCTCTTGTAAGGCTCCATTGCAGATCTTGGGAGAGTTGATAAAGCGGATGCTGCTCGACGAGATGCGATTGCTGAAGGACCTCTGGTTGAGATGGGAGCCTTTGGTTTCTGCTCTGTGGCAACTGTAGCCTTGGTTTGCTTCGATGATGCTTTCCTTTTCACATTCTTGAATGTTTCAGGGACATCACCAACAGTCCAATCCTCTTCCATTGATGCCATGATTTGCGCATCCGTCTTCTTCGCGCGCTCAACTGAAGACATTTCCAAATCCCGCTCGAGTTTTGATCTTCCAGTCTTATCATTGGTGTTATAGAATTCGCCAAGCGCTCCCTTGGTAAGGTTTTCTGGCTTGAGCATATCGTAGTTGAGACAGCCAGTTGGGAAGGTATCTGAGTCATATGGTAGATCCTTGGATCTTGGTGGCATATATTCGACTTCAACATCATCTAGAGGATTCTCATCTCCATGTACATCGATCTTAATCTTCTCCGAAACCTTATGCTTGGGTCTGCGAGCACTCGTTTGTTTTGATACAGTCTTTTCGAGGTCCTTCTCAGGTGCGGGACCGACGGGAGTTTGGAATACTTTGGTTTTCGCATTCGTAGTCTTCATACCAAGGGGAGCTCGATTTCGAGGACCTATTATAAATTAGATATTGATCCTACCATTATGCAATGGAAAATTCTTACCCACGGGTGTAACAAAAGCATTCTTATCAAAGGTCGCATCTTTTCCGCCTAAGCCTTTGCTTTTTGTGCCGAGGACAGATCCCTTCCCACCGAATCCTCCTGGCGCGTTCTCGTCATTCAATGGGACCTTCAATGGTGTCTTTGGGAATTTGTTTCCTGGCGTCTTTGGTTGTAAACTTCTGGTGCCTTGATTGAGGGGTTTAGAGGCAGCGACTTGTTGATGACCATGGATCAAATTCTCTTGATCCCTAGCTGCAAACATATTGACCAATTATCCTGTGCAATGATGGTTAATGTGATTTATCTTGAGAATGTGTGTTACATTAGAATGTATTATGAAGTGGTTGTGTTTGTCGACATATATGTAAATTTCGTTTTACAGAGTAAGAGTAACATTCAATTATTTTGATTTGTTTCTACGGCAACTCTGTCAAACCCAGAGCTCTTCCCATTTTTGATTATACAGCCCCGTGAGCCCCTTGCTCACAGACCAACCATTCACCCCTGTTTATGTTCGGTTGGCAATAATACTCTCTTTGGTCTCTCACCCTTTACCTACCATCTGCAACATCTCAAACAGTCGCAACTTCTTCAACTTCTTTCATACCATCAACATCAACCATAAAGATATTCTTTGTGATATCAAATCTTTCTAAATTCAACCTCACCACATCGTGTTAACCAACAAATAACCCTTCAAAATGGATCGCATCAAGGAAGTAAGTAAGATCAACGAAACTAACCCCGCCATTCGTCCCTCCAGTCTACGAAATTCCCCTTTCCATCCCAATACGATCGCCGACACTGCTTTCGAATGATTCTGAAGGAAAGATGCTGATTTCCATCTTGATAGAAAATGAACACCCTCCGTATTGAGGCCGATGAAGCTACCGCAAAGGTTCAAGAGCTTCAAGAAAAGGTCAAGCTTCTTGAGCAAGAGAACCTCCAAAAGGAGCAAGAAATCACATCCCTCACACACAAGAACAACTTGTTGGAAACCGAAGTGGAGAAGTTAGAAAGCGGGATTAAGGAGGCCAAGGCTGTGGCAGAGGAAGGTAGTCAACACGGTACACAGAACGAGACTCTTCAACGAAGATTACAACTTTTGGAGGAGGAAGCTGAGGAAGCTGACAAGAACCTCCGCGAGACAAATGACAAGTAAGTGATTGAAATATTGGAATTCCTACAAAAATAGGGGGTTGCTTCATAAGTTTTGCACATGTGCACATCTTGATATCCACAGTAATATAAACTGACCTTTGTGTGTCTTAGACTCCGTCAAACCGATGTTAAGGCCGGTCACTTCGAACGTAAGGTCCAGGCTCTCGAGCAAGATCGTGATCAATGGGAGGCAAAGTTCGAGGAGATGGCCAAGAAGTATGCTACTGTGCAAAAGGAATTGGAGGACTTCCAAGCAGAGATTGGCAACATTTAAATTGGTTTTTATGTCACAGTCGACATTCTGTTCTAGAGCTTTTTAGGTGCATGGGTTGCGGAATAATTACAGTTAAGCCTCGTATGCGCTGGCGGTGGTACGCTGTTTTTACATGATTTGCTTCTCGATCGATATCGAAGTCACATACCAAATATTACTGCGGGTTCTGATTGTGAAGTTGTTAATAGATTCCATTTTAATTATTACCTCGTCGCGCATCTGCTGCTGCTCTGCTCCCAGACTTTTGTTTTTGTCTCGTCATTTTCCTTTCCGCCTTGGTCTCATATGTAAACTTCTTCTTCCGTGGTTTCTTGGGCCAAACCTTCTTGACCTTCTCTTCTTCTTTTATGACCTTCCCCTTTGCCTCGTGTATACCATCATCACTATCCTCTTCATCCGCAGTTCTCTTGATTCCATCTTTCGATATTTCTATCCCTTCGACTGTGACCGTTGTGTATTTATCTTCATCGATATATTCCTCTTCGTGATCCACCAACTCGGGCGCTTCCTCCTCGGCTTCTTCTTCCTCTATCCCTCCCCATTCATCCCCGTCTCCGCCATCAAATCTCTCCTCCACATCCTCTAATAGCGCATTCACGGCTTTAACATGCTCATTTAACTCTGCTCTTCTTTCCTCTCGTAACTAAACATCAACAGATTAACCAATGATCCTCCCCAAAGCATCGAACAACAAACCTGTTTCCTCATAACAATTCTCTCCTCTCTAGCCTTCTTCTCCGCTTCCTCTTGAGCCCTCTTCGCTCTCTGAACCTTTCGTTTGTGAAATCCAGTTAAGTAATCCTCGCGAGCACTTAAATCGAAATTGATTTCTTCAATCTTATGGTCGAACTTTCTCTTCTTTTTGTGCGCTGGTAGGACTGATCGCTTGGGACGAGGCTTGACTATGAATGAGGATTCCATGGTGATTGATTTGTGAGGGGGATGACTTGCGGCGCACTTGGAATTGGATGTCTTTTCGTGATGAATTTAATATAATCCTGGGGAAGGAATAATTTGGGCAGTAAGATCTTACCGCCTTGGCTTAGTCAGTGGAGTATGAGAATGTTGTGAACTAGGACGGTGGTGGTGGATAGTTGTTCCTAATTAATTGGAACATAAATCACTCTGTATATCAAGGGTAATTCTCCAATGTTTTAAAGGTCACCGGAGACTTGGGCTTTGAATTATAAAAAGATTTGAGAATTGAAGTTATCCAATTGAACCTAAATCACGAATTGTTGATAGATATCAAACTGCTTACATAATCATCTAGAGAGCTCAAGGTTGCACTTATCGAAGCTTAATGAAACAGCTTCATCAACAAGATCATCTCGCACGCATCACAACTTTCCAACCACAGAAGTCAAGATGCGGTATTCGATTGCTGGATCGCTATTATGCTGCGCCGCTGCAGTGCAAGCGTTTAAAGATACATCAGCTTTCCTTTTATTCTCATCATCGGAGTGAGTTATACTTCCAACTACCCGCTCATCGCCATGTAGTTACTAACACGAGAATGGCAGATTACCTTCTTCGATGCAAATTGAGAGTCAAGAATTAGATACCACGACATCAGTCCTTCAGAATGCCAAGAACTTCCTTTCGACTTGCCCCTCTGATGTCTACATTATTATCCAACAAGATGCACTCGCCGCCTCTGACTTCTCAGCCCCAGAATCCGTTCCTCATATGAAAGCTGCTTTTGCCGATTCGAGAGTTCGAGCTACTTATAGCGTTATGGATGTCATGCACGAAGATGGAAATCTAGCTGGCGAATTAGCAGAATATATTGAGAAGACATGCGGCCAGAAAGTCGAACGACGTGAAAATGTTGGTTATGAGTCTGCTGATGGAACCGGAAAAGGTGTCATTGTATCACACTTCGACGCATTGTCGACTGAGAAAGCAGCAAGAGCTGAGGAATTCAATGACCAAGGTTTGTGCTCGTTTGAATCATCAGGCAAGATTCAAGACTAACTCGTGCGTAGATTACATGCTCAACAATGTTTACTACCAACATCTCGCCACTGGTCCAGAATACACCGTCATTTTTACCACCACACCTGTTGGCTCTGTTCTCGAACAACACAATTCCGAACTGCCAATTTATAATGCGGAGTTTGACTCCACTTCCCATATCGATTTGAAGCGAGATTTCAGAATCAGAGCAGACAATTCAACCACGGAACCAGATCGTAGACCACTATTCGAGAAATATCAATACTTCACTCCTGGCATTTTCATGGGTTTGGTGGTTGGCATCCTCCTTCTTAGTATCTTGTATGTGGGATTGAACGCCGTATCCAGTCTTCAAGTTTCATATGGAGCATTTGATAAGGAGATGGGACCATCTGCGCAAAAGAAACAGCAGTAATTTCTGGGTGGAGGAATGAGAGAGAGGAAAGATTGATTGTGGAAAGGAAAGGGATGGATGGATTGGAATTGGAGTTTTTGCGAAGTAAAGCTAGTGTATGATTTTGTATGTATAAAGTATGCATGGGTATTCAATAAATGGTATGGGATTTTTAAACATGCTTTTCTCTGTTCTTCTTGAGATGAATGGGTTGTGAGAAGTACATGGAGAAGTTGAAGTATTTTGCTTTCTTTCTTTCTTTCTTTCTTTCTTGCTCTTCATTTCGTATGCGTGGATGAAAATTCTAAATGTTTCTTTTTCTATCCCGAAGTATAATAGAAGATGATGTGAATATCGACTAGTGTTAGTGTCAGTCAGTCATGCATGCATGAGTGAAGTGAAGTGAAGCATCTCAGGATTTTTCTACCTAGTAGTATACATATCCTATCTATCCTATATCTTACTTCTGCATCCAGTGAGTAATTGTTTGTTCGGGGTGTGTGTTTTTTGGAGGAGGGGAGACGGGGAATGGGAGATGGGGGAATGGGAGATGGGGGAATGGGAGATGGGGGAATGGGAGATGGGGGAATGGGAGGGAGAGAATAGGGAGGGGGGGGTGAAAGCAAGATAATGGGGTGGTAAGGAGTCAGGACTGGTTTTATATTCTGGGCTCTGAATACTTGGAGGTTTGGAGGGTGGAGGTTGGATTCAACGTGAGCTGTAAACACGCAATTGTGAAGAAAGTGAAATCGTAGTTGTCTACTTTACCTCTTGATTGATTAATCAGTTATTCGCATCCTAGAAAGAACTTGTGGAGATAGGGATGAGATAGGGATGAGATGCTTTGAGTTAGGATGGAATAGAAAGAAGGGATGAAAAGATAAGCGGGCGAGGAGAGGGGGAGGGGGGAGGTGATATGAAAGTTTAGAATTGGATGATTTAGGGGGTGTGATTGGATTGGTATGTGTGTATGTATTGATTGTATGTATTAGATTTGTGGGGAGGAGATGAGTTTGATGCGATGCGATGCGATGCGATGCGATGCGATGCGATTCTGATTCTGGGGGTAAAGATAGAGGTAGATATAGAGGTAGAGATATACCACCACCTAGTACTCAACAAAGCGAAATTGAAATAGTAGACGATAATACAAATGCAGATGCGAATATCAATTTCAATGAAAGTTGCCCGAGATAAAATTAGAATTAGATAGAGAAAGATATGAGTATAGCTATAGGGGTGTTTAGCGAGTACCTAGGTGTTTATATTTTATAGTGGGATGGATGGATGATATATATATATATATATATATAATATATACACGTATATAGATTCTAGATCAGTTATCAAAATATAAAAATATATATCTTACCCCGGAATATAGTGATTAAGGGGATTTGTGTATGGTATATGATGTCTTGAGGAATGGTAGAAGGTATAGTTGTTGGAGTTTCTTGGGTTTGGGGGAGAGGGAGAGGGAGATGGAGGGTAGAGAAGGATAGCTATCTATATTATATGATATGGCGGCATTGAATTATGAGGGAAGGAGAAAAAAGAGAAAAGAAAGAAGAGAGAAGACTCGTGGATAATGAGTATAGGTATAATAAGCGCTGAGCTTAATATAGTGAGATGAAGATGTATTAAAGATAGAGCAAGATGAGATAAGATGGTCAGTTTGGAGAGGATTGTTTGGTGTCTCTTTTGAGGAGGGGGAGGAATCTAGGTGTCTCAAAACGGGAAGATAGTCGATGTTAAGATTGGAGGGGGAGGATCTTATTTTGTAAGCTGAGGAGTAAATGTTAAGTAAAGTGGTAGTTTTGTAATGGTATCGAGCGATCTAGATGTGATGCTGTGACTCTGGTGATGAAGGTGATATTCGCTTGTATCCCTAGAGAAGGTAAGATATGATATCTTTATGATGAAACTACCCATATAACGGTAACACGATCTCTAGAGATTTTGATATCAGCCATCGAATGAATGTGTACAGCACGAGTTTTCAATGTTAAATAGTATTTCTTAAACTATACATCTGAAATACATAAAATTCGGGACACTCAAGTATATATGAGGTTCCATACTATTTCCCCAAGCCATTCCCAATATCTTTAAAGAATTTTGATTCCCTTTTCCTGAACGCCAGACTTCCGGATATGCATTACCCAAGCTATCATGATCCTGTCATCTTGATAAAGACTCTACTTCTCTGGAGCATCTGGTAATCTCTCAATGACATACTTTCCTCTTGCCACACTCATAATGGGCACACCAGGAACCTTTCTAATTCTTCTCTTCAATTCCCTATCGTTCGTTGCCACAATATAAATCTTGTGCTTCTGTACTCTGTCCACGATACAATCATCTGCATAAACACCCTTATGATCACATTGCAATCTTTGCCATCTCTCATCACGCGCAATTCGCAGAGCGATACGATATCTTGGACCAAGTTTTTCCAATTCGGCCATGACGCAGGAAGTAATGATAGGAATACATTTAGCGTAGAGACAATCCATGAGAGTTTCCAGAAGAGGAAGTTTGCGTTGAACGGTATGAGAGAGGAAATTGGTATCAATGAGGATCGAATATGGAGGGACGAGAGCTTCGTTGTATTGAAAGAAGAGAGCGGATGAGACTTGAGGTCTAGATACGATACGTCATTAGTTAATGAATTGTGCGACTGTGGAAGGGATAGCATACGCTTCTCGAACAAGTTCCTTGGGTTTATTGGCTCCTTCTTCTCCTTTATCTTTATTTTCCTTTAGACGCGCATCTCGTTGTCCGATGACTCGTTTGACCTGAGGGGAGGAGGGGAAATGTAAGTAAGATGGATTAATCGATAAGAGGTGTGCGAGATGGAAGAAGAATACTTACAGCACCAAATTTGCGGGTTTTGGCTGCTTTACCCATTGTTCAAACGATTTGAATATATGTGCGATCAATTAATATATGGTTGTGTGGGTTGCGACAAGATGGAATATTGGGTAAGTCGATGGAGGTATGTTCTCGATAAGTATCTACGACAATCAAGCAAAAAATGATAAATTTCGATAATTTTGCCAAAATGATCTTTTCACCGCCTTGAAGACGAGGGAGCTAGGCTAGATACCTCTAGTCTAATGCATTTTACCATTAGCACGTGCTTGAGGATTACCTAAGTATTGTTGCCCCTAGTAACTCTTAATAACTATTTATAGGTGATGGAGCAGATCAAGCGGTTAGTTTACATTTTATCCATAATTTGGTAATTTACTAATCCATTTTAAGGAATTTGAATTAACTTCTGTCTAAGTCATGTCATGTGTCATGTATATTTCTTGACTGGGGAATGCAGGAACACGAAGAGAGGAGAGAGGAAAGAGGCAAGAGGGAGAGAGAGGTCAGGAAGAAGAAAGGAAGAGCCAATACAAGCAAAATACGAGAATTACATAATCAAAATAAGATCATGTGAGTTGGTTGAATTGGTTGAATTCTTCTTCTTCTTCTTATTGACTGTGAATGCCAGGTGAGTACAACCACCACCCGACCACATCTACAATTACAGCCACAAACTCAACAAATCTTTGAATAACCTCATTTATTATTCAAGATTCAATATTCCTTCCTTGCTTTTCTTCCCTTCGTTATCGCATTCTCATTGCTGTTATATCGGTCACGGTTTGGATCCTCTGGTCATTGATTCCTCACCACTCATCCTTCTTTGCATAACATCAAACCTACCCCATAGATTTGGATACCCTTGTAAACATTAATTACTGTCCACCAGTCTGTTCCACTACTGAAATCGCGGTTTCATTCTCAACCATCAATTTCCTGCTGCACAACGACAAACTTAACGTCGTGATCGACTTTGGAAGGATTCTTACGACCAGAGAACCATTCTAGAACTGGGAATTCAATCAAGATTCGACTTGTCGGAGGAGGATTCGAAGCAAACATACCTCGAATTTCACATCATTTCCCGTAGGAACGCAATTCTTCAATCGGTCGGTCGCTGCGACAACATTCGATTCAGTTGGAGTGTATAATCCCAACTTTCTATCACGAGTACCAACGATTCCTTTTCGAATACGAATTACATACAATATACACAAAAATGCGATTCAATAAATCAGCGGCATCTGCTGCTTTTGCAGTTTCATTATTTGTCATGCCAATCATGGCAGCAACTACCACAACAGCGGCTACAACAGCGACTTCAGAATTACCCAATCTTTCCAGTGTGGCAGCTTCGGAATCTTCAGCCGCTGCAGCCTCAACGAAAACCACAACCTCCAGTGACACAGCCTCGACAACAGCGCAATCGATTGCCGTAATTACAGGTGGATCTACTTCAACGGGTAAAGGAACCTCAACTTCCGCTTTACCAACATTGGCTGGAGCATACACAATTCCAACGGCTGCTGTCCCTCCAACCTCAAATGCACCATTTATGAAAGAATCAAGGTATCCCGAAGGTACGGTTTTTATTGCAGTAGGCGCAGTCCTTGGATTCATGGCCCTATCGGTTTTGGTTTGGCGTATGATGGTCGCTTGGGCGTTACATAGATCAGTCAAACGCGCAGCTAGACAACCGAGCCATGTGGATAAAAAGCAATTGTTTCAAGCTCCACCAGCACCATTTTACAAATATGCCGATAAGGATTCAACTCTTTCACTAGGAGGAGGTGGATTGGGTGGAAAAAGTGGGAAGAAGAGGCCAACCACTGCTAACGCACCACCATCTCAGACATCTTTATTCTTTAGTCCTACAGCTCTCGCCGGTGGAAACAACCCAGGAAATCGTGCTTCGAGTTATCTTCCAGCAGGTTATTATGCAGCAGGAAATGCACTCCCAGGAGCATATCCAGGTGATAGACAAAGTATTAATATGTCAAATCTCACTCCACAAGGATATGCAAGAGGAAATCAATCTCCACCTGGTAGTCCCGGTCATAATACTCATTCCGAATCCAGTACCTTGGAATCAAGACATAATGATGGAAACGTTAGAGCGCCGAGTGCTTATTTGCAAGATCTTTTTGATGGAGATAATCCACATGCTGCACCTCAACAAGGACGTGATAGAAGATCAACTCGTTATTAATCGGGATGAGAGGAGGAACAAGTTTGATTTTGGGAGGTTACATTGCTCAGTACCAACTTTTGTACAATGCGATTGGATTGGATTGGATTGATTAGGGGCGTTCTTTGAATACATGCATGCATAAAACATGAAGAGTTGGTTTACTACTTTACAATTAGGGGATTTGGTTTAATGCTTTTAGGGTAGTTGGTGGTTGTTATTAATGAATGTTGTGATGCGTATTGGCGTGATTGATTGGAGCGGAGCGTAGCGTGTGTTTGAGAATGCCTTGGTTATTTGTGGTTGATTGTCTATTGCAAATGTATTGGGGAACGGAGGAGACATTTTGTATAGACGAGGGGTGGATCTGGAATGGGGGTGGAGAGCAACGAGATGGGGCTGCTTGTTGACTTGTATATAGACGAATTGATACGATAGCGAAGCGAAATGAAGTTTTGAGGTTTTGAAGTTTTTGGAATGAGGAATTGATTTTTGTGATACAGATGCAGGTAGCAAGTCGTTGCAAGCATAAGGGAGTGGGTAAGGAGCGAAGGATACCTAGATAGATGAAGAAAGTTCGGAAGCATGTTTGATGTTTGATATCTGGTGATCGATAATGAATGGATGAGGTTTAGGGTTTGAATGGTGGATGGAGGGATGGAGGGATGGAGGGATGGAGGGATGGAGGGATGGAGGGATGGAGGGATGGAGGGATGGAGGGATGGAGGGATGGAGGGATGGAGGGATGGAGGGATGGAGGGATGGAGGGATGGAGGGATGGAGGGATGGAGGGATGGAGGGATGGAGGGATGGAGGGATGGAGGGATGGAGGGATGGAGGGATGGAGGGATGGAGGGATGGAGGGATGGAGGGATGGAGGGATGGAGGGATGGAGGGATGGAGGGATGGAGGGATGGTTGAATAGGTAGGTAGGTAGGTAGGTATGTGATAATTCAATGGTGTATGTTCAATTCCAAGCGAAAGAATTGCTGGGCGGAGTGGATGGATGGGAGCTACCTATGCTTGTTAGATTGTTGAATTGTTGAATTCAGTGTATAGCTATAGGTGGAGGTTTGATAGGGGTTGGTTGGAGTTAGTTGGAGTTAGTTGGGCTTTAGGGGCTGGAGATAGAGGGAGAGGGGAGAAGGGGTAAGAGAAACAACTATTAAGGATGGTAGGGTAGGGAGTGGGGAGAGTAAGCAACTTTTGTTGAGGGCGGGCGGGACTGGTGGTATTCTATATAAGGGGAATTGGATTGTGGTATTGTGTATTAGGTCTTTATGTGTGGAGGGGAAGAGAAAAGGGGAATATACAACTATCAAGGATGGTAGGGGCAGGAGGAAACGCAAAGGACTTTTATCAAGGGAAAAGGGAGCGGGAGTAGGACTGGTGGTATAGTTGCAGGGAACATATAGCCGCAGTTAAAGTTGCAGAGAGGTATTCAGAATTTAAACTTCTAGATTCTAAACTTGAAGTGATCTAATTTTCGCTTAATATGTATAGCGACGAGGTATGAAAGGTTGAAAATACTAAATCTCAAAGGACTTCTTTCAGTACAAGAGAAGCAAGTCTTGGTGGGCCAGCATTGATCATTCATGTTGATACAAAGTTGTTTATCATGCTTTTCTTGTTATTATCAAGTCGTTCCTCGGATTTGAATAAACAAATAATACCAATTAGTTCTCATCACCATGCTGATGAGCTTTGGGAAAATTTCAACACTTACAAATTACTTCTGCTTGTCACTTGACAGATTAAAATACATCCACGAATACCCTATCCTGCAACAATTAATACAGCTTGGTACTCGATTTAAATACATATCTAGCATTTTTTGAATACTTTGATAGCGGATTCTTCTGTACTTGAAAGCTACACTGCACAACAATCGGACAAAATGCCACCCACTTCCAATACAATGATGGACAACCCCTTCCCACCACCAGAACCAACAGATTTGGGCGAAATTGATCGTCTTCCTGCTACCATAGAGGAATTCTGCACCACCATTGGACTCGGTCACGACATCCAAAACTGCGAGCGTCGAGAAGGGGGAAACAACAATGTTGTTATGTTTTCCTACATGCCCTTTACATCTTCCGATCCAAACCATCCTCCACATACTCGACAGCACTGTATATTGAGAACGGAAAAGATCGTCTTCACCAATTCTCCCAACGCGGAATGCGAAGATACGAAAAGAATCGTCGCACTTGCGCAGGTCTGTGGAGAAGCAGAACCCCATCCATCTCAGCTTCCTATTCCTGCGGTTTTGGCGTATGATGAGTCGTATGATAATACTATTGGCTGTCCGTACATTGTACAGCGAAAAGCGGCAGGGAAAGACCTGGCACGCTGGTATGAACTGCTCAATGTCCCTGGTTCCGCTACGGAACAGTATCATCTGAAGGAAAGAATGAGAGTCGCGGAGGAAATGGCGAAGTTTCTTGCGAGTGTGGAGATGAATTTCCAGTATACGGCGTATGGATTGTTGGTTAATAGACGGGGTATGTTGGGGAAGAGCGTGGAGGGCTTGGAAAAGGAAACGTGGATGGGTATTAACCCTCGTCTTGTGGGTAATGTGTGGATTCCGGGAAATGTGCAGCATGATGTATTCATTGAGGGTTTGATCAATGTTCACCTTCAGGTAGCGTATGAGAAATCGGGCTTTTTGTCAGCTGAGTATAAAGATTTGGTGAAGTTGAGCAGGATCTTTCAGGAGATGAGAGATGAGGGACTTATGGATCGCTTCAGTGGAGTGACTACGCTTTGGCATCCGGATCTGTATCCGCGGAACGTGGTTTTCGATCGTGTTGATGCTGGTGAGGGAATGGGGCGAGAGATGAAGTTGACGGCGGTCATTGATTGGGATGATGCACTGGTGGTAAGTTCTCCATAAACCAGTGCCAGAATGAACTAACCTTTATTCATCTAGCTCCCACGATACATGATACGCAAACCATTGAAGTGGATCTGGACACGCAACTGTCTTCCTGAAGAATCGCAAGCAGTTATCAAAGATCATTTTTATAGTTATATGGAGAGTTTGGTTCCGGGATATAGAGGGGAGGCTGAGGGAAGAGAGGCGATAGTTATGAGGGCGGTGTTTGCGTATGCGTTTTGGGGAACGGGGTATAGATCTCACTTGGAACTCTCATTTCGGGGGTTGCTGAGGGAGTGGAAGAGGATGGGAGAGGAAGAGGAATAGATGTTCTGAGGGGGGAGTGGTGGTTTGGAGTATGGAGGAGGGAGGGAGGAGGGAGGAGGAGGGAGGAGGAGGGAGGAGGGGGGTGAGGAGATGTTTTGAGGGGGATGTGGTGTGGAGAATTGGGGAGGATGGGGTAGTACTATCTCATTCTGGTGGTGGCGATACTAAGAAAATAGGTCTGAAGGAGAGGAATAGTTACTTGACGTATTGGCATGATGTTAAAATTCTCATACCTAAGTTCGTGGTTCCATAGGAGATACGAAATATCAATGTATTCCCGAATTTCAATTCTCTATTAAGACTTGAGTATTGAGAGTCTGTTCCTCGAGTCAAATGCCAATACATGAGCTCATGAAGAGATAAGAATCGTATATTCCAGAGACAAATGATAGATATTGTGGGGGTAATAGCTCTAATATGTTTTCCATGTCTTTCATGAATCTGTCACTGCCATAGCACAGGAGTTCGGTCTATTATTACCTCTAGTTCGAGAACTATTTGAATTTATTGCTTCGAGTATTCAAGACTATGAGATAAAGTAGACTTTAGATTCGGCTGACCTGCAAGTGCAAAGGTGGCTTTAATTTGTGGTTCCAACGTGCGTGAAATCTAGGTCTATATGAAGTTGTTTGAGTACCTATTGTATTAAGTTATCATCTATATTTTCTAACTGAATCAAAAGGTATCTCACATTTTATTCATTTAGAAGTGTTACCTGTACGAGTAGGTAGTGTTTGTAGGAATGAGAGGAGAAATTCTGAATACGTACAAAAGAACTCTCTGGCTTGCGGGAATGCAGTAATTGACAAATTTCCTGAACTAGTCAAGGAGATCCTCTTGATTCTGTATATTGTAATGCTTTTTCTCCGTTGGTCGACTTGCACATCTATGTGCTCTCCCGCTTTTGGAAACAATGTCTAGGAAGAATGAAAGAATCTCACTGTCTGATCATTTGAGAATAATGCATAAGTGTCTAATAGATGAGGTTATAAAGAAGCTGTAACTTGGGAGGTTCTCAAAAGAATTTGACCTACTTAGATATCCTCGAGTTTGAAAGATCAAAGTCTATGCACACTCGTAAAGCCTGCCGATTTGGAAACTATTCTTAGACCTGGGTACAAGATAAAATAATTCAGACCGATAGGAAGATGATTCTAAGAAAGGATTGCATTCGCTTGAATGACATTTAGACTGTTCGCCTGTTCCTCATAATGCATGGATCTGCATCAATTTTCATAAATCTTTTAACTATTCGTTACACAAAATCCCAACCCATCGTTCCCGGCTGGGTATCAAACTTAACCATCTCTCACCCGTTCCTGAATGCAACTTCCTAAATCAATCTCAGTCCACTATCTCTGTAATTCAATACCCTCTTCTCTCTAATTTTAGCTAAGATGTTATCTACTCTTCCATCCTAATCCCTCCTCTCAGAAATTGCACTTCATGCATGGTAAGCAGAAGCGGGTTTTATTGAAGATATTTTATGGTTCTGCTTGTGCATTTTCCACAAATTCATTCCACAGATCCAATAATACACCAAAAGAAAGCTCGCAATAATTCCAGTCAACGCCCTTCAAAGCGTAGATCGCGATCGCTCTAGTCATATTACCCCAATCAGAATATGCATCTGAACAATACCCAGGCAACAATTGTTCGATCCTCTGATCAAATTGGTATTTTATTGCATTTCTCTCAAATACCGACAAATCATCCCCTTCATCCCACAAAAATACAGGAGGTCGACGGGTCATGATTCTCGGAACAATCATGACACCATCCCAATCAATAACCCCAGTGATTTGAACATCTTGCTCATTCTTCCCCATCATGATATTTCTTGGCCAAAAATCAGGATGCCAAAGTACAGCTGGCTCGGGATTCTGTTCCAGCCCACGAGTTAATTCAAATTCATTCAATCCATACGCCATTGAAACAAGAATATCGTGTCTCTCCTCTGCCAGTGGTCTTCTTGCATCATTCAACTGCGAAGTCAAGATATCGATGAGAAAATGTCCGATCTTCGAATCTTGTCTCATGAACGAATTCGCAGTCCAGGGCATTGGCGAAAACCCAATGAGATCGGAAATAAGGGGAGAGCTTGGATCGGAACACTTTGCTGGCATTCGTGTGGAGATTGCGAGAGTGCCGTAGTTTTCGAATCGAAAACTTTCCATGTGTTTGATACACCCCGCGACTTCGTAAGCGAAGTTAATTCGCGTTTGGATCGTATCGCGCAAGCCACCAATTGGTGTGTATAGGGTCTGCAAATCTTGACCAGCGATAAGTGGTTGGATGACATAAGGACATCCGAGCATATTCAAACATGTTGCGTCCCAGGCGTAGACGGCAGGGATGAGTGGTGATACTTTTCCCATGACGTGATGAAATGCAGCCATTTCTAGAATTCCTGGATCAATGTAGTCGTGAAGGTTCCATCGTAATTTTCCGATTCGCAGAATGCAGGAAATTGGAGAAGGTGGTGTAGCGTGTGTGGGGCTGGCGAACACTGCGTAGCAGAGTATGATGGTATTGTTCCCCCCTTCTTTCACAGAACACCCCAAGATGCGGATTGGGAAGCTGATGGAGCGACAGAATCTGTTGAGGATCTCTGTAATTGTGGAATTTGTTGCACCGGGTGGAGGGAAGGAATTATTGGTCAATGCTAAAGGTTGGGGGTATTGAGATTCCATTTTCTTTGATTATGTCGAGGAAGATGGTAGAATAATGTTATTTGAGTGGTGAAAGTCAAGAACTTTCGTGGTAAGGTAAGTTCTTTGGTTGGGAAGAAGAAAGTCAAGATGTGATGAAGTAGATTTCCCTCGAAGATAATGGTGCATATATAATATAGTATGCCCATAAGATACGCTTCATACGGTCTTCACTACTATGTAGATAGACAGTATCTACCTAGCCACATCATCACCGTAGTGATTAGTTGAATACGGTAGTCAAGCGAAGGGACTGTTTTGAGCTTTTAGAACAGGTCAGAATGAACTTCACAGTAGTGAGATCTTTATCTATGGACTTACGCCTCTTGTAACTTCTAAGATACTTGGAATAGTTTCTAATTACGGTTTGAAAGTGTTGTCTACTGAGATGGCGTACAGGTTTGCACCTTCTCGCTTACAGCATTAGACGAACTAGACAGTGAACATTCTCCACGAAGCTTCGTCTATGATAATTCCCAACCTGCAAATGGATCACTATTGACAAAAAAGCTCTGTGTTGCTGGATAATGTACTGGAGCTCGACATGGCGACGTTTTAGCTAATTCCGCATAACACCGTAGTGCTTAATCGTACAAAGGTGTCGTATTAAATGATATTGCTTGGTACGGTTTTTTTGAGCGACACCTGCTGCCAACGTTATAAAAATTTGATTACGGTTTCTATCATTCATACCGAAAAATTGTGTATAATGATGGCTAAAAGGAAGGTAGTGTTGTGATTCAGGTTGGCGTTAATAATGTGCTAGACATGACATGTTACTTTCCATGTAGCTTGATAGTATATAATTTCTCTACATGCACACGTATGTATTTCACCAAATTTTATATTTGCCATACTATTATTCCAATCGAAGATACAACTTCGACTTATCTGGTAAAGCTAATCACTCAACGTCAAATTGAACATCATACAACTATACCATTATATAATTCAAAGTCTCATACGGAACTTGGTTTCAGATAAGATTAATAATTTAACCCAAAAGGAGGTGCGATATTTATATTTGATATATCCACTAGCCTATTTGACCCGACAGTGCAATATGACATCACAATCATTCACAACCATAATATACCTACCCATTTGTCAATCCACGAAAATAGACATTGCACCCATTCCCTTGAACCACGCACATCCTTATTACGTCGCATACTCCAGATCCCTCGCTACAGGCTCAATACGCGTCCACGCATCTATCAAAACCTCAAAAGGAAGTTCATACCATTCAAAATCCACACCAAACAACGCATAAAATCCCAACGCCCTAACAATCCTCGACATCTCTCCATAAGCATCTTCGCACCATCCCGGTAGCCCCTCTTCTATCATCTCATCGACGCAGGTATACTTCCATACACACTTATCTGTCTCGCGTACGTGAGGGCCTTCTCCCCACAAGAAATAAGAAGGACATCGAGTCATGATACGAGGCAGTGCCATGGCGCCTTCCCATCCAAGTACAGCTTCTAGTTTGTAAGATTCCATTCGGGTGGGGTCCTCATTCGATACGCCGGATCTAGCTTCACAGTAATGAGGCGTCGCAGTCATCATGATTTTGCTAGGCTGGAAATTCGGATGCCAAAGAACAGAGGGCTCGGGTCTATGTGCAGCACGATAGATATCATTGTTGTCCAAAACCTTGATACATAAAGCTATATGGCGAATCTTTCGATATTTAACTTCCTGATCCGGATTTCTTGTCTGAGATTCCGACATATATAGTAATTCGAGTATAAAGTCGATGGCCTTCGAATTAGCTCTCATGGATAAAGTGTTCGTGAATGGTTTGACAACCAATCCAATTCGATCCTGTACTCTATCAGGAAAGGAACTCTGGAGAGCCATTCCCTGAACGGGCTGAAAAGTACCGTAACACTCAAATTGATACGCCAATTCTTGTTTCTCAATATACACGGATATCATAGATGCAGCTTCTCCGTAATCACTAGCTGGCTTGTAATAGCCGTATGTGAGATACTTGTTGTACAACGCACGATATTTTTCCAGTAAAGTGTACCCTTCCACTTGTTTCTGCATGATGTACGGAGATCTGATGGCGTTTCCGCATCTAGCATCATAAGCGTATAGTTTAGGAACTTCAAAGTGCTTGGCGGAGATGAAATCGAAAGCGGCGGCTCTCTGGATCCAAAGGTCGGGGATTGCTCCTTGTGTTTTGGGGGTCCGCAAGACATAGTGTTTACAAGGCGCCATACGACTACCGGGGGGAAGATTGGTTAGAATCCATGTAAATAATATGATATTGTGCTTGCTACCGCTTTTTATTCCGGAGATTCGGATGATACCTGGGGGGAGTCCGATTTCGTTGCATAGATGAGTTACTATTGCTTTGACTGCCGAGATATCTTTCGGTGGAAAGGCATTTGGTATGGGGGAGGGGAACTGAGATGCCATTTTTGTGTTACTGGGTTGTTGTGAAAGGTGTATGTTGAAGGCTGTCTGGTTGAAAGGAATTGAGAAAGTTCAATAGATCAATGCCTTTATATAGACATGGTACTGCCGTGTTGGATAAACACAATCGTATCAAGTGAAGATAACTATGAGACTAGTGCCAAAGTGTATTTGAACAAAAAAAATTGTCAATCGAGTAGACTTCAAGAGACAGGGTTGTATAGAAGGTATCTTACGATTTCTGATACAAGAAAATTCATTGAAACAATCTAAAATAAGCAACTTAGTCGTAAAGGAGGGGTGCAGTGAAAACGAACTATGTTCTAGTTCTACATAAAAAAGACCTTGATATACGACACGATTTTTGTTGCGAAGATTTGTGACCTATACATTCACTTATTAGCACCCAATAGATTTATATCAATCTTCAGACAACATTTAAGATAATCCTTGAAGAAAACCCCAGAACCATCATGATCTTACATTGTTTCTCTCATGTACAAAGCTCATTTACACCTAGAATTAGTAAAGCAACCCAAACTACCTAGGTACTTTCTTCTTTCTTTTTACTATAATTCACTCTTCATAATTCACACTTGATTATAATCCCAACAAAGATAATATCGATGAGACTGGCTTTCATATCATGATGTTAGCCTGAAGAGGAAAATAAACTCGCCGTCTTTTAGAACTAATTCTATGAGGTGATAGTGGTAGATTGTCTATGAGTTACTAAACCAACAGTTATCATTGGTCAGATAAACGAACGGGCTATTTGATAGCTGAGTGTATTATGTCTAGTGATCAAATCTTCTCAACTGAACATATGTAATTTTCTAGCCTTTTCTGACTTATTACCATTCTTTATTTACCTAAGTTAATAGATAAATCAATGAATATTACAATAGTATAGATGTGATTGTAAAATTTATAATACGAGTCATTTTTTACACACAACGAGCATTCTCCCGATGAACCAAGGGACTATTACATGAATTTTATTTCGCTGATATTTTCTAATCCTTCATTATTCAGAATTTTTACTTGAAAAAACGAATCTTCAGGCCGTTGCTGTCTTTCTTATACAGAAATGAAATTAATTATACAATAGGGTAACGCAAGTCTGGTGCAAAAAATCTTTCGCATTCCAGTAGAAATTCGTTAAAGGAGATCTCTCCATAATGCTTCCACTGGGGGCCATATAACGAATACATGCCCATTGCTCGAATGAGAACTCGAGGTCTCGAGTATGCATCTTCTATGTACCCAGGAACTAATTGCTCTATAGTGTCATCGAATGCTTGTTTGACCGCATCAGCCTGTTGCTGTGTAAGAACGCCTGGCTGGTTCCAGAGAAAGGAAGGAGGCTCTCTTGTCATGATACGCGGTAGCTTACTGTAGATTAGTTACCCAGCCTTTGTCGTGAAAAAACGAGGAATCACTTACAGCTAAAGCATTGTCCCAATCGATAACACCTGACAGACGAACATCGCTCCCAAGTAGTACAACCAAGATATTTCTTGGGTGAAAGTCTGGATGCCAAAGTGTCGAATCTTGATCGCTGAGCATCTTTTTTCTCGCCATTTCTACCCATACACATCCGAGTTTGATACCTTGATATCTCAGCCCCAATGCCCTTAGATCAATATGTCTCTTCAACTCTTTAGTCATCAACTCACGGATGAAGTTGCTAAAGCCGAATTTTGGAATTCTTTGACCCGCTATGTCCAGTTCGTCCACGGCAAGGTCGTAGAGAGTATTTGGGTCTTCTCTGTTCTGGATTTCTGTATCTGCTACATTTCTAATGACACCGTAGCCTGGAATTTTAACGCTTTCCTTCTTAGCAATGAAATGTGCTATTTCACGCGCAAGTTGACAATATTGCAATACATAGGGAGACAAAGGTGGTGATCGTTGTATGGTTTGATAAAATCCTTGTAGTGGGGCCCCAAATATCATTTGCATGACAACATATGGACAAGAAATAGCGTTCTCAAAACCGGAGTCATGGAAAAGGATATCAGGGATAGGTAAACCGACTCCATGAACTCCGAAATGATATGTCAATGCTACAAGAGTATTGACTGGCTGATAGATTGGATATTGGCGTTTTTGGGAAAAAGAAATATATCGAGGGGTCCGTATGTAGTAATATTGGCGTGCATAAAATGGAGTCGTCTGGCATGTGAATAACACAAAGCAGTTATTTTTGCCCTCTATGATATGGCAACATGCAGAGGTTTGTGGGTGTCCATGTTCCAAGAGTAGAGCATTGAGCAATCTTTCACAATCGGTACTCAGTGTAGACGGAAATGGAATCATTTTGCCAATCTGTTCAGGCGGTGGGTCTTCCGGGTTTCTGTCATAGAATGGTGCGTGTACCAGGGGGAGTAACTCGACGTGTGGATTGCGGGCAAGTGTAAGATCCATGTTGACAGTTTCTAAACGCTGTGTATCTGTGTTCATGTAGGCTACATCAGCACACATCTATTTCTCTAACCAGAATCTTGGGTTTAATATTATCCAAGAAGAGTCGATGGGAAAACGATGTAATCTTACAAGATATTTCGAAAAGCTCATATATTTGAGGTGATGTATATTCGAACACTTTGTTGATGTAGTCACAAGAATAAAGGATGTTTGATCTCCAAGTTTGCAAGATAATCCATAAAACATTGAGGTTCAAGAATGTTTAGGAAGATTAGAATTGGAATTAACCATCACCGTAGATTATTCATCATGGTATAGATTATCAAGTGGAAGGTCCAATGGTGCATTATTGCTTGATTCAGCTATTGTGCAATTGGGTGGAGAAAGTGCTCTCAGGTCAAGCAGTCAAAAGCTTAGTCAGGCACATTTTACACGGAATTGACGACTGTCATCAATATCAACGAGCTTGGGATACTAGGAGGATAATGAAGACAAAGTTTAATACGCGAAGGATATATCGGGGAGAGATGCGTATGCCCTCTCAGGTACCACTCAAATAACATTTTATTCTAAGCAAAATTTCCACTTCATCCAGAATATTTAAAAATTGTCTTGTGTACATTACTCATACCCAATAACCTATCTTGCAAGGAAAAGAACTCCAGTTCAAAAAAAATCATCTAAGAAATTTATCTCATCTATATGAGGGGTATATTAAAATCGCCGCAACTACATCGCCAATTCCCCATACGGGACAAATTTCTGCTCCCCATCAAACCCATCCATCCCCGTTGCGAATTCAATCCCCAATATAATCGCAGTATAATCCACAATCTCTCCCAATTCTTAATGCTTCCTCATGAAATCCTCCCAATACCCTACCAAACCATCAAAAGACAACTCAAGGTAATGCTGAAAGTTTACCCCAAAGACTGCGTACATGCAGAGAGCTCTAATTGCTTTTTTGATCGGCAGACGCGCGTCGTTTTTATATCCTGGACGCAGCATCTCCATATGATCGTAAAAGGCAGCTGCAATTGCGTCGCTTTCTTCTCGTCTTAAAGGGCTCTCTGACGTGGACCAGAGCCAGCTGGGAGGTTTTCTGGTTACAATGCGAGGAAACTATGAGAATGTTAGTGTACAGTCTCAAGAAGAGATCTGAATATGTTTGAGCGAAAAAAATTACTTACTGCCCTAGATTCGTCCCAATCGATGACTCCAGTGAGTATGACATGGTGTTTAGAAGTCTTAACCATAATGTTCCTCGGGTAGAAGTCTGCATGCCATAACGCGGCCGGCTCGTCTGTCAACAGCCCCTTTTCTGCCATCTGCGTGCCTATCTGTCTGAGCTTCTGAATTTTCCAAACTTCAACTGGCGACAACTTGAGAAAGATATCAGAAGTTCTCTGCATCTGAGCATTTAAATTATTATTGACCCAATTAGGAAAATTCAGCTCCGAGGGAATCCTAACACCGTCGATGGAATCTCGACTTAGCTGGAAATCACCTTCCACTTTGTTACCCTTAAGTGGCATATCAACGGGAGCGACGAAAATTCCGTATCCCGGAAGTTCAGTCTTGTCCATCGCAGCCACAAAGTCAGCAACACATCTCGCGTATTGGCAACGACGATCCACGCGGGCGTCCCGCGGATTCTGGAGTTCCAATTTTTTATACAGCCTGAAATACTCATATTCCAATGTCTCCCCCTTGATTCGTTCTAAAAGTGTATATGGACAATGTATGCGATTTTGATAGGTACAATCCCATGCTAGAACGAGTGGAATTGGTAGATGCATTTGCTGACGGAAGTAATGAGTGAGGGATACTTCCGACTTCATGTAGTGATCGGCGGGTGGGTTGCCTTTCGAATAATTTGTTAGAGCTGTGCGTAATACGCAGGCGACTCGTTGGTCTTCAGTCGTTGCTTTGATAGGAAGACAAGTGAATAAGATTGCGGTATTATTGCCACCGACAAATTTTTCCAATTTCTCGACCTTGTGGGCGAAATTGATGTCGATGCAAAGTTGTTCGATCATTTTTCTGGTGTCTTCCATGGACTTTGGTGGAAATGAGTTCTTTGACCCATTTTTAAGTCCCATGAGGGTAGGAGCTGCGGATGCCATATTTGAATATTTCTAAATTGAAGACTTTGTGAATTCTATGTGAGAGAAAGAAGGAAGTATTAGTTCATATAATCTCGAGTAATGACTGGGTAAAGTGTTAAATAAATAGATCTTGAATTACCAATGTGCTGAAAAGAACGTAACAACCGTACCATTTTAGTCCCCGAGTCGTTTAGACTCGATTATTTACTACAGCTGTGTGCTTCTAGTGAAATCCTGTTACGGCTCACAATGACTGAGTGTGTTGTTACTTGGTACTAACTAATCACTTATTCTGTTTCGCTCTAATTTCGAAAGAAGGGAGAGGAAAAAGCTTTGAGAGGATCAAGGACATTCTATTGTATCTTGCCCGGTCCGTTCGCACTGGGGAAATTGCAGAGACGAATATCGAAAAACGGTAAAACAGTACATTTTGGAAGTTGGAAAAAACAGTTCAACTCAAGATATCCTCATCTTCAAAAAAATTGGAGTTTGATATATTCAACCAAGATCCTGTTAATAGGAGGTGATCTCTTATGATTTGGAGAACATCCTTATAGACTAGCGACTTCGCGCTCACTGTGTCATCTCAAATGCATACATAGTATCTCCGAGAATGAAATGAAAATTAAAAGCATACAGAGAAGACATGATAGAGTCCAAAATAACATCATCCAGAGAAACACATTCAATAACTGTCAAATGCACGGAACTCAAATTCCGCTGTCTAAACTGTGAGCAATAACGATACGAAACAGTACTCTTTGGAAACGACTGTACGAACAGTTGCTTTGATATCAACGCCCTATATATAGATCCAAGCAACTTCCAATAAATATTCGAAATCTGGCAAAGACCGGATATCCGCAAAGCACCATAGCACCAGAACTTTTCCTAAATCCAAGATCCCTAAACATAAACCCTTGACTCCCTTTGAAAGAGTATATAATATCGGGCAACCAAGAAAAAAGAAATCACGGCTTCTTATCTTTTCCCGCGGATCGACTTCTAAACAAACCCCTCGGAAACGGTGGTACATGAACTGTGGCAGTCTTAACTTTATCCCTAAGACTGGCTTTCTTCCCAACACCCATGTTAGATTGAATCTCAACTCCATTAATATCGCCATTAGATGGCTGACTTTCATATGAGCTCTGTCTACCACGAATACTCTCCGGTTGCTCGGAAGATCTATCCCTACCCCACCATTTAATGAGCGTTCTCTTTTCTTCGTCTGTCAATGGTTTCACTTGGTTATTGGTGAAATATCCTTGAGTAACACTTGATGGACGGACTGCTTCCCATTCCATTAAGTCTTGTTGACAGTGATGATTTCCTTCTGTTGAAGTTGTCGTGTTTTCCATTGGGCTTGAAGATGGGCGAAGTAGAGTAGAGGAGGGCTCTATAACATGGTTCTGTTCTGGAATAATCACATTGTGAGTCCAATCTAGCTGCTGGTCTGAAGGTACTATTGAAGGTTGATTGAATGTGGAGAACTGTTTATCCTCGAGTTGGAATGTCTCCATTTGCAAGGTATTCGACATCGTGATGGGTTGGTCGATTGGCATGAGATCATTGAATGTAGAACCAGCGGGGTCAAACTGCTCATTTCGTGGCCACCAATGATAAGTTTCGTAATTAGGAATATCGAAATTCATCTCATCATAGCCGGTGAGATAATTCACATCTGAACTTGTCGATAGTACTGAGCCGATGGAGTCATGTGATCTCGAACTATATTCGAGAGACGGTGTAGGAAAATCCAATGACTGAGCGCTCGTGTGGAAACCCTCTAATTTGTAGAGCGTTGCGGGATCAACAAAAGAAGAGGTGGTCCGCCTAGGCGATGGATCTAAAGAAGGTGGTGAGTTCAAAGTGAGTGTCTCAGGATCTATCGTGGAGTTTATTTGACTGGCAGTTTCGGGGTCTGGAATGAAGGAAGAATGTCGTTTATCTAGAGTCGATTGCGCCTCTACTTTGGCGGCCATGTTTTCTAAACTACTCAGCCGTTGTTTATTCCTTGAACATCGTTCCGGATCACACTAGCGATTGTCAGTGGGGCGTCTGATATCTGAAACTGATGTTCGAGTACCTTCATTTTCTGTCTTCTATGCCTAGCACATGCAAATCCTCTATTAGCGGCAACCTTCACTCGCTCTTCCTTATCGTATCGTCTCTTCTTTATTTTCGGACTGAACTCCTTCATATCGGCATCCCACGTTAAGAATTGAATGGTTCTGCTTTCTGGCATCGAGATACGATGAGACGCCAATGATTTAGATTTGACATGTGATAATGATTCTGGTACTTTCACGTTTGGTCGCGTGACCTGTTCTTCTGTATTCACATGTAATGGCAAGCCATCAAGACCCATATTCTCAGAGATCCTATTAGTCTTGGAGTCCTCCGATGCTGTCTTTTGTCGTTCATGTCGAAGAAACTTCCTAGTGGCAGCTTGCATTTTGCTTCCAAGGTCCTTTTCCAGTGGAAAATGATAACTCAAGGCGATAGATAGTTCTTTGGACCCCGCTGGAGGATCCCATCGTAAGGTATGATCATCATTATAGCTTATTACATACTGAGGTAGATCAAAGATTGAAGATTCCCTCTGAGCTCGATTGCGTTCTTGCTCATGGGGTAAGGAGGAGTCCATAATCCGGGGTGCATCTCAATGCAAATGCAGTAGATCGTACCGGGGGATTCGATTTGAGAATCCACTGTACGCGGCTGATGCAGGTACGTACAGTACTGACACTATCACTACCAGTAGCGATGGAGAGTGGAATTTACCCTTGGAACTGGCGGTCAAGAAAAGTTGATGTAGAAATACTTGGGACAACGCGAAATCATCCAGTGGAAGTAACTGAGATCAGATAAATGAGACAAAACTACCGGTAGAGATCATCCAAACGGTTGTGGAGTGAGAGAAATGAAACAAAACGAAGAAATCTCAAAATCTTACTCGTAGATGTTCTTCTCCTTCATCCCATATTTCTGTACCATGTTACTCCGAGGTTGCCTTGGCTTTGACCGTGTCCTAATACGGATAGGATCAGGGATAAAGTCCGATGTGGCGCAGCTGACGGTCATGTGATCTGTGAAAGCCACTTCGTCTAATCTTATTCTATCCTCTCCTCCTTCATATGACACTCAATCAACACACCACTACCGTTCTGATATGCGTACAACTAGTTAGTCTTCTACTGACTCTTGGTGGAAATATTGGTTACAACGATGATCTGTTCTGATCCTGACGACTTTTGTAGCATATGTGGCCTTGCGGGAAGAGACACAATGGAAGTTGGTTCGCACCGATTTCTATTGATTCAGAAGGCACGCATTTTGTACGCGATGAGGTAGATGCTGGGCGTGCTATTCTAGATAGCTTTATGGTGGGGTGGGAAAATTTTGATGTGAGTGGACATATATCTGGTTTTGGTTATTAACAGGTGGGAGCATCTGATTTTCAGAGAAATGAAGTATGTGTAAAGACACTACTGTGAGATTGCGCAACGGTATTAACAGGCTAAGAGTGTAGAAGGAAATAAAGCAACTGCGAGCAATTGTTGCTATGGTAGTTAGGAATTAAGTGTGAAACCCGCTTACCAGTCTTATGGCGAGTCTCCAAGTGGATCCATTTTCTCTGCAACAACGATAGTTAACGAATTCTGTAAGATGATAGAGTGGAGCTTATAGACATTGTTTGATGTTACGGGTCTAGGTTCTAAGAGATGGAGCTGTGCATGAAGGGTTGAGGTCAAGTGGCCCCTCAGTTTCGAGAATTCTTATTTCAACCGAAATCATCGCTCATGCCTGCGTTTGATGCCCGTCTACTAAGCATAACCACGAGGGGCCTTGTGCAAACATACCGGAGATCTTGTGATACCATAAGTACTGCATCATCTCTTATGTTCTCGACATCAAGACATTTTTCATTTTTTCCTAGAACTCCGCTGCGTAGTTCTATATGGTGGTTCGAACGCTTCCGAGTACAACCACATGAGTCAGACTTCTGTTGAGAATGAGATTGGATGAATATCAATCCAACAGATTCTTACTCGACTCAAACGACATCAGTGGCAGGATTGTGAGTTCAGCAACCACAGCTACAAACGAAATTTGATAAACGGATTGAAATTATACGAGGGTACGATTGAGGATATCTATTTCTGCCTGGGTTAAGCAAATTATTCAACAACATAGATGAGGACCTGTCGGAACACGTCCTCTTATCCAATAACAAGATCAATACACACACATCGTAATCAAGGTACTGTGTATTCGAAAGAGGCTTTGCTGAGTGTTAATCTGCGTTTTCACGAGTCAAGACAATGTCAAAGACGAGAAAATCTCAGTGCTAGTACTGCTCATCAGTCTGCATAGGAAAATTCAATCTATTACACTTTACAGATCACCCATGATAGCACTTACAGCTCAGCTATGTCGACACGGAAGCCTAGTCTAGTAGAATTTTGCAGATCATCTATGATACCACTCTTGGAGAAAGTCCTTAAATAAAGGAGCTGCTGTCGAGAAAGGTCTATTTCATCTCAGAATAATTCTCAACATTAACAATCAGTAACGTACGAGATCTCTTCTTACACTTTTGAGTTTCAGTTTTCCAATCACTACTGGTAAATTCTTCAAACTCATTCATGTCACCAGTACTGATAGTCTAATGTGCCAGATAACTTTTCAGTAAATCATCATAGGCAAATTGACGACACCCGAAGAGCGTGCCGCAGAATTGCATGCTCGACTCTCTGGTCAAGTTCCAAACCGAACTTCCAGAAGAGACAATCGAGTAGCCTCCACCCTCCCAAACCCAATGTTTGCTGCAGCCCTCCATGCAGCCTCTCGTGACGCAAATGGGTCGGAACTCTCCCCCATGGAAGCTCGCTTGGTTCGGATGCTAAAGACATTTGCGACTGATCAGGAAGTTGCCGGATACGGAAAAATGTACACCGAGACCAAAGACCAAGCTGGCAAAGGTACTTTGAGCGGCACTATTTTTTCGGGCGCTGCTCTCAGTATGAATGCGGACACAGCATATACTGACAACGATATGGTTGCTGACGCGAAAGCAATGGCGAGCGACTTCCTTGCCATGCCCGGGAATAAAATTATAGACATCACAACAATTGACACGGAATGCACTGATAGCGCTGAGTATATGGAAGCGCTTACTGGAGCAGGAAGTTGAATTACTGTGTTAAGTGCACCAGATATTGAGAAGAAAAGCGAGCCAATTCAAGCTGAGACGGAGGAGAAAGGGAGTACAACTCCTGACAGTCGCAACCGGAACGCTATCGCAAATACTGTGAGTGATATCAAACTTACTTTGCAGCGGTTCAAATGTCACCGTAAACAAAGTGATTCACTCACTGGCCCTAGAAATGAGATCTATTGGGGCCTTGCGGCTGGATCCGATGTTCGGGACAAGGAAAGTTTCAAAACTGGAAATTACGGAGAAATTGTGAATGGAAGTGAACGCACAATGGGTCAGACCTTCTTTAACGGCGCTGTACAAGAGCATTTTGCAGGGCATATCGAGTGCTGGGAGCAAGACGATAGTGGTGATAGCTTTTACAACAGAATGGTGCAGACTTTAAAAGATATTTCCGACTTTGCGATTGATGCGGCTGTCAAAGCTAATTCCGCAGATGATTGGGGAGATGAACACGGATCGACAGGAAAGGCCGCAGCAATACTTGCGTTGGTTGGAATTTGTGGGAGACTAGTTGCAGCTCTTCTTGAGTGGTAACGAACGATGACGACTTGGTCTTTCGAAGAGAAATCGCCTTTACATATCCAGCATTGGTTGCTTGGAGTAAACGATCTAATGGCGAGTTATCATTCATGTTTGATGGGGATCACCAAGGGAAGCATGAACTGTGGATCAAGTGTGAAGCGGCTTCTCGCTCAAACGGTGTTCTGGCAGGCTGGAAGGTAATTTCAGGGACTGGATACGATTCGCCAGTTGTCGCTGGTAGAGCCTTGGACGGTATCTCATTGGTGAATTTCAACAAAGAATTATGTGGTATTTTCCGAGAATTGAATGGCGTATTTTATTGGACTAAATACGACGACCGAGACAAAAAATGGTCATCACCTTACCCTATTTTACTTGGTCTGATTACTTCTGAGTCTCGCCCTGCTATTGCCACACTTGGCGATCGCGTGTTTTGCTTGTACCGCGGCTACAATGATAAATTATATTGCATCTCTACTCGAGATGGGATCGCTTGGACCCTTCCAACTCTCGCAGCAGGATTGGGAGGCGCAACTAGCGATGGCCCAGTTCTTTGTGGACACAACGACCGCCTTGTTGCCGTGCATCGAGGAGCGCATAATCTTCTTTATTATAACGACTCTACCGATGGTGTAACTTGGACAGATCCAGCAAGGTTCCATTCCTCAACTACAACAGATAAATCACCAGCTTTATTTGTCTACAATGGGTATTTACACTGTTTTATACGCAATGCCTCCTCTGGATCACTCTGTGTCTCCCGGTATAATATTAATTCATGGACTGATTTTCAGGATCTTGGAAGCAAAATATACTCTGCTTCTCAAGCGGGGTTGTCATCAGACGGTACTATGATCGTGAGTTACACATCGTTAGTCGGTTTTGTCATCAACTTCAAAGAGTGCGACGCAAATGGCAACTGGTCTGATGCTTCGTGGTGGAAAAACATTAAAATTACTGGTTCGCCGGGTATGGCTAATTGGGATGGAGCCCTTTGGGTATATGCTGGCATGACACAATTTTAAATTCGACAGTCTTACTGGATAAACAAAAAAATGGCGAGGATGATAATTATATAGATTGGCGAGACGATCGTCTGTCTATTTTAACATGATTTTCCCACCCCACCTCGATATTGGCCAGTTTCATAGTTCCATAGTCAGAGTACCGTCAAAGCTCCTTTGTCTCAGTGGGAAATCTGGTTGCTCGGTTTGGGGAGAGTTTTATAAAGCTTTCTTGAAAAACATTACCCGCAACCGATCATGTCTGTCTCTCCCTTCTTTTAAATTTAGAAGGATATATATGCCTTGGCCTTGCTTATATATTTTTAACTTGAAATATTTGTAAAAAAAAAATATAATTGGAGATCGCTTGAATACATTACGATGCTGAATTTGCAATCTACAGTACAGCTAGTATTGATATCATATGTTAAAAATGTATCCTGCTCCCATCAAATATTATGAAATGATAACTCGTGTTATCTAGCTCAATCTTTTTTAACGTTTAAGATTCTAGATCACAGTTATCAACTTCACTCTCCTATCAGCTTGTATTCCAAGGTTCCATAAAATCGTTTCAATAAATGCCCGACGTCTAATAGAATCACCTTCTCTACTCCGTAAGAACTCCCAATGTAAAGACTCCCCCATTTCAAACTGCACCGCAAATCTCAAATCTCTCGCTTTTCTTTCTAGAATTTCTGCCAATCCATTTACTTAGTTTCCCTTCTAACTCCAACTTCGAATTAGTATTTATCAACTCCTTGTGCTCGCCAACTGATCTTAGCATCGAGTTCCGAGATCCTCAAATCAGCTAGTAAGAACTCCACTCAAAATCGTTCCTAGAGTGGAAGCTATGATTGAAAATGAGAGGAACATATATAAAATCCCATTAAAGTCAGAGAATTATCACCAAGTCTGCCTAGCTAGGTATGTCAAAATGTTATATTCCATCTTGAAAAATAAACGGAAGGCTGTGATACAACAAGATGACTGATATGCCTACATAATTAGGATCTTTGGAAAGAGATATAAATAGCACTAGTTACGTGTGGTAACTGTAAAGAGAATCATATTCATATGTTTGAACGTTCATGATGGGATAGTTGTAATCCTAGATTTCAACCGGTAGAAATGACAGATCTTGTCCTTTCTAGGCGACTCGCGCCCACAAAGTCACACTTGTAGGGATGGGCGAATTATATAATTTGGGGGTCGATTATATAATTTTATATTATAATGCTTTTTGAGGTATATAAAATATTATATCAAGTTTATATATATATTTTTCAGACCAATAAAATTATTAGGATGAATGAAAGTGGGTTGTTTTTGGAAAAAGTTTTTGACGGGTTCTAATTTTCAATTTAGTGCATAATTAGATTTAAAAGTCAAATGTTAATTATATACTAATTATGTAATTTATATATTAATTATTTTCTTTTCAAAATAGCTTTGAAATAACCTTTTATAAAAGTTTTATAGGGTTTTGTAGGATTTTATGATTAGTTATATATATAATGTAATTTAATTAATATTATATATTATATTTAACTGAGCGATATACAATATTATATATCATCAAATCGCCCAACCCTACACACTTGAAGCTAGTTGAACCGACGACGATACCGAAGCACTCGTTAGACTCACGCACAGGTAGATTGGTCGCTTTAACTCCCTCAAATAGTGTGAACCCCCACCTACCAGTGTTGAAAAGAAAGAATGTAAGACTTGTATTCTTAAGGAACTATCGTGACATTTACATACTATTTAGATCGAATGAGGAGCTCCGGCTTGAGACCAAAGAGATATAGAGAGTAAGATGTAAGATTCTCCAGCTGATCCAATTCTTCTATACATTCTATTCAAGCTACGCGTATCATTCTTCTTCACTAATATATAACCGGGGACTATTTATAAGAGTTATGACCATCGCTCACCGCACACCGTGACGTTTTGTAACATAATCCCTACAAAATTCATATTTTTTCATATAAACTAAAATACTGTATAATTAATTCAATTGTTGATATTAAATTATAAAAACTTTAAAGTAAATAATTTGAATTATTATGTATATAAGAAATTTTCCAATTTATTTTTAAATATTTTTGTTGAATAATTATATAAACTTTTAATTGAAAAATCCTAGAATTTTTAACTTGTAATGCTTTTTTTATACAAAATAAACGAATTTTTTTAAAGTTTTTTGAATTTCCAATTTTAACCCTTTAAAAATACTATTATAAAAATATTTAAAAATAAACGATATATTTTTTTAAACAATTGTAATAATTCTGAGTATTTTTATAATATAATTTTTAATTTTATTTTTTATTATAGTAAATAAATTAGGGTATAAAAAGGTGAATAATCCTGTATTTTAGTTGGAAAAGCGTTAAGTCGGGTACAGAAAAGACGTGTAGAATGGATAGAGTTTTAATATTAAGTGTAGTGCGTATTGTATTGAAAGCTATGTACAATCCAGTTGACTATATTAATCAAGATGATTACGTAATACGCCTAATGCGTTTAGCCTGCTTTCTGGTACCCTACTTTCGGGCCACCCTCCTTTTGGGCCACTTTTTATACTAAAAATACACTAAAAATGGAATTTATAACTTTCTTATTTATAAATAGAATTTGATGAAAATTTATATGTATATAATTTAGATCGATTTAAGCTTATTTTGAAATTTTTAGATTTTTAGGATTTTTCTATATTGAAAACTAGAGTTTCAAAATATCGATTTTTAAATTTGTATAGGAATTATATACAAATTTAATTTTTTTATAAAATCTTTAATAACTTTCTAATAAAAATTGTTAAAAATAAATTATAAAATTTTATTTTAAATTTATAATACATTTAATATAAGAGATTTAGAAACAATAAAAAATTTCTTATAAATAAATATTTATAAAGATATTCTTAAAATAATAGGAATTATTTATATTATTCTAAACTTACTATATACTATATTTCTATATCTATTAATTTTTTTGAATTTTTTTTTGAATTTCTATATAGATTCAAGCTTATATATCTCAAAAATATATATGATTTTCTTTTAATAATTGTTGTTAAAAAGTTATTAAAGATTTTATAAAAAATTCAATTTTGTATATGATTCCTATATAAATTTGAAAATCGATATTTTGAAGCTTTAGCTTTCAATATTAAAAAATCCTAAAAATCTAAAAATTTCAGAATAGGTTTAAATCGATCTAAATTATATATACACAAATTTCCATTAAATTGTATTAAATATTGATAGAAATATTAATAAATCTAAAAAGTGATTTTTGGTATAAAAGGGTGGCCCAAAAGAGGGGTGGCCCGAAAGTAGGATACCCGACTTACCTGTGCGGTGAGCGATAGCCCCAACTCTTACATTTATGGATCGCGAAGAGCATACTTGACTTGATACCAAGAGAGACCAAATGTCAGCGAACCTATAGAAATAATTAGAAACACACAAGTCAACGCCTCACGTGGATGCTTCACACGTGATTTACATGGGAACGTTGAATAGTTGATGGGTGATGGGTGATGTGAATGGGGATGAAAATGGAGGCGCGGGTGGAGAAAATGAGTGGCTTGGGCGAGGGACGTTTTGTTTGGCGGAGAGGAGAAAAGGAGAAGAAGTTCAAATACACCATATTCGAAATTTGTCTTTCCCCGTTCAGAATGAGACAACTGGAACACCAAACTCGCCAAAATTCAAGCCCCTTTCAACAACATCTCCAATTCGAAATCGAATAAGAATACAAAACGTCATTTCTATTATGATGAGAAATTTCAAAGATGTCATTGTAAGCTTGAAGGCATCTCTGTACTAATATTCTTTCCAAACGCTTGTAGAGTGATGGGAATGTTGTTTTAGTATCTCGGTATTTTCGTTCTAGTGGGCTCCTTTATTGAGTTCGTTCCGAAAGTTACAAGACAACTTCATCGCTCTCTCCTCATATCTATACCGCTTCCTTCCTTTTTTCAGACTTTTTAAAACAGATCGGAAATATTGCGGAATAATGCCAATTGTATGCGGATCGGATGTTGCGGAATACTACCCTCAAATCATTATCCTTACGCAATAAAATAGAAAACCTAATTGGTGAATCCACTCAAACCCCATAAATAATGCTTATTTGATCCACTACGATGGGAACCGAACTTTGATAATTGCTGATTGTTGATTATGAGAACCCGAAAATTCATTCTTTATCTGATCAATCCTTCTGGTTCAAGTGCTCTAGAATTGTTGTTGGAGTTTCCAATAGGAGTTATAGGATGAACACGTCTCGGTACCGTATCTCAACATGTCTACATTAGTAAGCATATACATATGCAGAGTTCAAACCTTAAGCATCTAATTGCGGTGGAATCACTATCTCCGCTGCAGAAAAGTTCCTATTCCGCTATTATCCCGATACTATTTGCATATTACTCGGGTTGCGTCACATCACCGACGGGATATAGATAACCGGGACGTACGACTTTTTGATATCTTTGGACTTCTCCATTTATCGTGTGAACAAAAAGGAAAGGGCGGCCGAAGTTCGAATATTTAAGACACCTGATTTGGATCAAAAGATATTTCCTGGTATCGATTTTCCTGCTACTCTTGCAGCTACCTGGAAATTTGCTATGGAAACTCCATTATCACCGTCTTCCTCTTCCGAAATGATGGCAGGTCACGAGTCTCTCAATATCGAGAAGACAAAGTCTAGACCCGAGTACGCCCATCCGAATACTCTCGTTCCTGTTCAAAGTAAAATCGAACATTTCAATTCGCGCCCTCGAGAGTATACTTTCATCGCAATAATATGTATGGCTCAATTTATGACGCAAGCCGCATTGGGTCAAGCGATTGCTCCGCTACATATAATTGGATCTAGTTTTGGAGTTACAAATCCTGGACAGTTGAGTATGCTTCTCTATGTTCCGTTTGATATCTGAATCGTAACTAACATTCCGTGGCAAAGGTTGGTTTGCTGCCGCATACTCACTGACGGTCGGTACATTCATTCTTATTGCGGGACGACTAGGAGATCTCTATGGCCACAAATTGCTCTTTATAAGTGGTTTCTTTTGGTTCGCACTCTGGTCACTACTAGCTGGTTTTAGCGCTTACTCGGATGCAATTTTTTTCGATGTTGCTCGTGCCCTTCAAGGAATTGGACCGGCTTTTCTTTTGCCGAATGCTTTAGCAATACTTGCTCGTATCTATGAGCCAGGAAGAAAGAAGGAGATGATTTTTAGTCTTTTCGGTGCCACAGCTCCAACAGGCTTTACTCTTGGTGCAACTTTCTCAAGTATATTTGCGGAATTCGTTTGGTGGCCTTGGGCCTACTGGGTCGCTGCTATGGTATGCGTCCTCCTCGCTGTAGTAGGCATTATTGTCATTCCTCACACACCTCCTCCACAATTTGATCGTTCAGTTAGCATGTTCAAGCGAGCTGATGGCCTTGGAGCCTTGACTGGAGTTGCAGGACTGGTTTTGGTTAACTTTTCATGGAATCAAGGACCAGTAATTGGTTGGACCACCGTTTATGTCTATGTTATTCTCATTATTGGGGCTCTTGTGCTCGGACTGTTCGCGTTCATCGAATCTCGTGCGGCCTACCCATTGGTACCCTTTGGTGCGTTCAATTCTCACACTGGTTATACACTTGCATGTATTGCAGGTGGATGGGCTAGTTTTGGAATCTGGATCTTTTATTTCTGGCAACTATTGGAGGAAATCAGGGGAATCAGTCCACTTCTCGTATCAGCAATGGTCTCGCCTACGACTATTAGTGGACTTTGTGCATCGTTGACTACGGGAAAGATTCTTAGCAAGGTTCCAGCCAGTACTGTGATGATGATTGCTATGACTGGTTTTCTCATTGGATCAATTCTGATGGCCACGGTTCCTATCAGTCAAACATACTGGGCACAAACGTTCGTTGCATGTCTGGTAACTCCTTGGGGAATGTAAGTTCAAACATCATTTTCTCTCCGAACCATTGGATAACAAATGCTAATAAAATCAGGGATATGTCATTCCCAGCAGCAACGATTCTCCTGAGCAATTCCATGCATAAAGATCATCAAGGACTTGCCGCTTCTCTTGTCAACACTGTTGTCAATTACTCAATCTCAATCGGTTTAGGTATTGCCGGAACTGTAGAAGTTCAGATCAATAACGGCGGAAAGAACCCAAAAGATCTTTTGAAAGGATATCGTGGAGCTCAGTATGTAGGGATTGGACTTGCGGGACTGGGCGTGGCTTGTTCGATTTTGTTTTCGTTGTCGGAGAGGACGAAGAGAGCCAAGGATAGGAAGGAGGAGGGGCGAATAGAGGAACCTTGATTTGTTATGAAGCGATTGATTTGTATAGATACCCTACAGTTTTTTTACATAGCTGTTGTTGCTTGAGTAGCAGTTGATCGATCATGTCCTTTCACGAAATAAGAAACATAAAAAGATATAATGATACTTCGTTGATCAACAACATTTTGATGATATTCAAGGTAGTGGAGTCGGATTCGGAATTGAGTAGCACTAACCCCACATCAGTTAGCCAAGATCTAACTCCGACCGGAAAAGTTACTTTTTATCCAACCTCAACTTCCCCCTTCATCATCACACATTGAATCAAGATGTATCCATCGAATAATTCGTCCGCTTCAATACAGCTTGTATACTTCATTACGAGTCAAATTGAAGAGCGATTTCTCGGCTTTTAAGTAATGTCAGAACCAATTGATGGGTCATCGATACAACCCCCACGCATATCATCATCGGCGCCGTTATCGTCGACGCAATCGAGCAATCCAGACCGTCCGACTCATGGACGTCAACGAGCGAGGAGAGCTTGTCTTCCATGTCGACAACGGAAGAGAAAATGTGATGTAGAATTCCCCTGTTCAATGTGCACTCGATATGGATACAATTGTCGATACTCCGATGAACATAATCCGCCTAATTCCAATATTTCACCTATACGGACAATTCTCCCAGGTCATAATGAAATGAGGCATGAATTTTCACCACCGACAACAAATCATACTCCTAGACGTCACAGTATAACAAATGCTCAATCTCCATCTACATCATCACAGGATGTTGTTGATCGCGGTATTCTTGATCCTTTGAGATCACGATACATGAGTCAGCATTCTGCAGTCGCTTTCCCCAGAAGTCTTGGTGTGGAATTTCAATCTGCAAATCCACCACCTCTTCATTCTTTTGCTTGGAATTGTGGGATTAGAGCCGAGGAAGCTGCATCTGCTCATACCAATTTGACTCAATTGGTTTCTTTTGATGATTTTAAACGGTTTTCGGACATATATGCGGCAACAGTTCATGGACCATTTGGATTCCTCGATTGGCCATATTTTATGAAACGGTGCAATGATTATTGGACTAACCATGGGAGAGATTTGACCTTCGGTGCTGTTATTGGCGGGGTGGTAGCCTTGGGATCATTTTTTGCATTTCGACTTGGTCATCCTCGGGAGTTGGAAATTGTGCAGCATGTGAAAACGGTGCTAGAGGATCCAACATTCAGTCGCCATCCTTCAATTGATCAAATAAATGCATGGATTCTACGGACCCTGTATCTTCGATCAACTACCAGACCTCATGTTTCGTGGCTTGCTAGCTGTGTCACTTTGCATTTAGCTGAAGCTACAGGTTTACACCAAGAAGTCCACTCGGTACTATTGACTACGGAAGGAGATACCCAAGCAAGGCGGATGGATCAAGCAGAGATAGAAAGAGCCAGGAAAACTTTCTGGATGGCTTGGTCTGTTCATACGATTATTTCGTATGAATATGGAAGATCTGCGGTCATTCTCAATAGTATAACTTGCAAGCCACTCAAGGATACTATGGGCGACAGTACAATTTTTCACATCAAAATTGCTCAACTAATTCCTCGCGATAACATGGTCGTCAGTTCCATTACACATGAAGAGGAACTAATAAACGGTTTGAAAGAATTGGCACAGATACCAGACGTACATCCATTTCTTTCACTCTCTAAAGCAGATGTTTGTTTTTGTTTCTATAGAAGACTGAGGCTTATGAAACAAGGACTGGAGAAAGAAGCAATTCAATCTATCATAGATATAGGGAATAAAGGTGCCGAGGCAGCAAATACATTTGCCCGCAATGGTCATCCTTGGTGGAATATCCTCTCAACCACATTCCAGTACTTTTGTGTCCTCCTCGCCATCGATACGTCGGAAAGTCTATCAAACGTCTCTTGGGTCCTGAATATCTTTGAGAATATCGTAAGGATAGTAGATACGCATTTAGCACACGAAGCATTCGACACTGCAAAGGTTTTGCTCAGAGACAGTATGGCGAAAAAGAAGAGGGACTTAGGATTCTTGGAAAACGCGGATGGACAGCATGGTCCGGAAGTAGAAAGACAGGTCGATATTAATTGGGATGCATTGTTGGACCCAACATTCCCGGATGCGCTGATGAGTGAGGACTTTTCGATTTATAATAGTTGATGTGAAGATTTCGACTGAAGGTGGGACCTGGGACGTGGGTGGCGTTGGCTGGGGATTCTCAACATTCGAGGATACGTATACGCGTGGTACAGCTCTGACATGTCGATCCTGTGGATTCAGATGCATTAGTGTATATACATGTGGATTATCTAGCAGGAGAATGGGCTTGGGAATCAGGCTTATTTCTTGGTTTGGAAGAATTGAATACATTGTTACATGTATGTCGAGTGTGACTTCAATACTAGAGTGAATGGGTTCAATCAATCCAAAAGAGGAGCTTACTGGAATTGATTTTGCCTTGGTATGCCTTGCAGGTCTGAAACTTACACGGGGGTCCTCGAAAAGCAGGTTTTTACTCCAAGGTGCCTAGGTATCTATTGTAAGTTCTTTGTTTCAGAATTCAAGTTCTAAATCTAGTAGACTAATGCAAGAACCCAGATTCACCATCTCAAGGCTTCTTGGGAGTGAAAATCCTTGAAGTTGGAGTTGAAGTTGTAAGCTTTTACAAATCCGGACCTAGCCTGATCATTTGGGACAAAACAAGTCCCCCTATGATTCACTCTAAATTCTAGCGAATTCACTGCTTTCTCCTGAGAAATCACACCATTCCATCAGGTTTTGTTCAACAATAGATTTTATTTGTCTTCTATTACGTTTAATTGTGTCATGCTATTCTTTTCTAGTACTAGTTTGATTGAATTTTCAAAGGTCATTTGGTTCTGGGGTACTTCCGTATTGATTGCAAATTATCTTGGGTTACAAGGCAATACTTAATACTTCGCAACTTCCAGTCTTCCAGTTTTCCATTCTCCCACCCTACCCCACCAAGCTTTTGTCAGTTGTTTATTTGCAGTGGTATCTACCTTTACCATTACCTTACATGTACCTTCTGCTTCTCAACAACTCCTACACGCAGTTCAGATTTTCAATATTAATTTCCTACACTTTGATTTCTGCAACTTGCTGTCTATTTTGCCATCTACCCCACCTTGTCTGCCTTTAGCAGCAATCCTCCATCAATTCTCCAAGCCTTCGTTCAATCTGCCATCCTCTGAACACTGCTTTTGGGGGTTGGGAGCCAGTCTGGGGCTGCCAGGCTATTTTCTTCTTCGTTGACAATCCTTTTCGTACGAATTGCGACACTCATTGAACGCGTCGTCGATTAGTCAATCTGGGACTACCAGTTAACTTCATACTCTTCCTTCTTGTACCACTCTTCGTGGAAAACTTTGACGTCGTCTCTGAGATTTGGTTTAGCTGCTACGTAAGTTGTTGTTCGTTCAATGATCATCCTCTTGAGATACTTTGCGGCATCCTTCTAACGTCTTTATCAAATGGTTGGCTTAGAGCTATTCGTCAATCCTTTTTCTTCTTCGATAACAACCTTGCCGCAATCGTCGAAGTTGTCCTTGAGTGTTTGTCTGGAGTCATCAATAACCTCTCTCCTCCTTCGATAAAGCCTTACGGTAAGTCATTCTCGACTCTTAGTTTGGAGTTACGAATTAATTTTGTCCTCGTTCAGCAATCATCCTCTCACGATACTTCGCGACATCCTTGATCATCGTCGGTTATCTAGCCCATAGCTACTACTTGACCTTTTGTTCATTCAATAACTATCTTATTACGAGGTGTCGCAGCGACCTTCGAACGTCGTTCTTGAGCTGATCTCGAGTTATTGGTTAGTCTTCTCTTGTTTAATAATCCTCCTCCCGCAGAACCTAGAAGCAGATCAATTTTCTCCAAACAGTCTATCACAGCATATCCTACTTCTTTCTGAAACTTTCTGTGCGATTATCTGACTTATCTATTTCAATAGTATACAAGGAGATAGCATAGCTACATTTCGTGTACTTCCAACATCCTCCCACTCGCTCCTCCTACGACATCCTCGAATTCATCCAACTCTATTCCGTCACTCCTTGCTCCCCATTGCGCGATGACTGCGATCACGATCACCTACACCTAAACTTATATTATTCCACTGTCTATAAGTGATCCTTACCTGAACAAAGCTTACTCGACCACGATGTCGAACCAGCCGGAGAAGGAAGACTCTTCTTTCCAATATCTACCCCCACTCCCCCAACTACCACAATGGGGTATACTGTCGCCTGAAAGTCCTCCCCCGGACTCAATTGGCCGCACTTTCGGTTTCCCTACATCTTCTGTGAGAGACGGTCCTCCTGCTGCTCATGATCGTTCTCCAGCTTCTGGTATTGATGCGCCCAATATGGTGGTCTCTGATCGTGCCGAACCTGATCGTGGTCGCTCAGCCTCTGGACTTTTACGGGCAGGAGGTTCTCTTCGGGGTCGTCCACCCAATCCACACGATCCGTATGATATGAACAGATACCACGCTATTCATAACAATGCTCGCACATCCTACCCCGTCAATAGCGATACCACCATGAACAATGGTCCTGCCAGCAATCTTCCTCCATATAACTCTGACTTCGTAAACGGTGCTCGCGGTCGCAGTCCTTATCACACTCGCCGTCTCCTGCCCTTTGAACGGAGACCAGTTTCTGTGACGGATCAAAGTTATCCTTCCTCAGCCGTACGACGCCAACCAATTCCTCCTCTTTCTCTTGCTCCTGGTACAGCTAGTGCAACCGTTCGAGCTACTCGCATGACTCCAGCTCCAGCTCCAGTTCCAGGTCTAGTTCCAGCCCCTCCAATTGCTCGAGCTGCTCCAGTCACTCGATCTACTCGATTTACTGGATCTCGAGTCAGAGAACAACCCGACCCGATTGCTAACCCCCAATCTACTCGATCCACTCGATCCACTCGATCTCAAGCCAAAAAACAATCCACATCGAGTGCCGCTATTTCTCGGGGCGAACA